GGCATGACTCGCGACTGCAAAGGAACCTTGCTAGCCATTCTGTCATATGATCCTTCAGTTGTATAAATGACCGATCGGGGACGTACTTGCACAAAATGTAGAACAGCTGAAGTTTTCTTTTAACATCGAATGTTCGAATAAAGGATTTTAAATATGCGAATATTCGAATAACTGTCCTTCAAGTTGCTCGATTATTTGAATAGTCGAATGAGTGTCTTTTAGAACTCCTCGAAAGAATGAATATCCGAATAACTCATTTTTCCAAATCGTCGAATGAATGAATTATTCGAATACAGGCCTTTTGCATTTATTTTTTCTCAAATATTCGACTATTCGAATATTCGAAATAGTCGAATATTTTGCATAAATCATACGAACACGAAAATTCGGTTCTAACTATAATGTGTATCGAACTTTCGAACACTCTATGCTTGTCAAATTTTCAAATATTCAATGCTTATAGAATATTCGAATACTCGTTAATTCGAACATCGAATAATTGAATTGATGACCATCAAGTATTCGATTATCGAATAACACTCGAAGTTGACTTTTTCTAACATTCGATTTCTGAGAACCGAAAACAAAAAATATCGAATACTAGCGGCTTACCCGGCTCCGCCCAGCCCTGTCAACACTATGTCAAAGAACACTATCCCTATTCTCGTACGAACCTTTCCCTGGGCCCACGCCTACATGCCAAATCAATATTCCCGCTATTTTAGTAATCAGCATGCTCGATTACCCCCCTGTGCTAACTCCCAGCCCCGTTGCTCAAACTTTACAAAAAATCGATAAAATCGATATAGTGGACGATCATAAAAACTAATATTGTATTCGTAATCAGCATGCTCGATTACCCCCCTGTACAAACTCCCAGCCCCGCAAGTCAAATTTTGCAAAAAATCGATAAAATCGATGAAAGTAGTCGATGATTCTGAAAATTAATATTGTATTCGGAATCCCCATGCTCGATTACCCCCCTGTGCCAACTCCCAGCCCCGTAGGTGAACTCTGCAAAAAAAATCAATAAAAATCGATAAAATCGATATCGATCGATGACGAAAAGTAGCCTATGACACCCGCCGGGGCCCGAAGTGTATGTGTGCCAAGTTTGGTCCGGATCGGTTCAGAAATGGAATTTTCTATTCGGAACATACAAACAGACAGACATACATACAGACGACATTCATACAGACAGACAAACAGACATTCAGGTTTATATATAAGAAGATTCGACTATCGAATATTACTCGAAATTCCAGATTTTCCATATATTTTCATTCAAGTGGTTCATTCCAATCTTATATATAAAGCTGAATGTCTGTTTGTCTGTCTGTATGTATGTGTGTACGTATGTTCCGAATAGAAAATTCCATTTCTGAACCGATCGGGACCAAACTTGGCACACATACACTTCGGGCCCCGGCGGGTGTCATAGGCTACTTTTCGTATCGATCGATATCGATTTTATCGATTTTTTGCAAAATTTGAGCTACGGGGCTGGGAGTTGGCGCAGGGGGGTAAGTGAGCATGGGGATTCCGAATACAATATTAGTTTTTAAAATCGTGCATTACTTTTATCGATTTTATCGATTTTTTTGCAAAGTTTGAGCTACGGGGCTGGGAGTTGGCACAGGGGGGTAATCGAGCATGCTAATCACCCCCGTGGGGGTGATCAGCATGCTCGATTACACCCTCCTGCCAAATTCCAGCCCCCTAGCTCAAATTTTGCAAAAAATCGATAAAATCGATGAAAGTAATGCACGGTTTTGAAAACTAATATTGTATTCGTAATCAGCATGCTCGATTACCCCCCTATGCCAAATCCCAGCCCCCTAGCTCAAATTTTGCAAAAAATCGATAAACTCGACATCGATCGATAACGAAAAGTGGACTGTGACACCTATCGGGGCCCGAAGTGTAAGTGTGCCAAGTTTGGTCCATCGGTTAAGAAATGGAGTTTTCTATTCGGAGCATACGGCGGAGCCGGGTAAGCCAGCTAGTAATCGAATAATCATTCGGTTTGATCCAAAGTATACATACAGTGCTTGGGGCATGGAACGTCTCAGCATTGCGTGCTCCGCAGTCGGCCAGGGCTGCGGGTCAGGGAAGACGATGAAAGGTGTGCGATGATCGGCCTTTTCTAAGGCCTAAGGCATACCTCACGCGATTTTAGTCGCCGCGCGATTTGGCACTGCAACGACTCTCCATAGCTGGTCCTAAACGCACTTTGCTTGAGCCAGACTTGCTGTGTTTGTTGCAATTAACGGAATCTACGCACCCATGCATCTGAGAGCCTCGCATGCTTAATCTCTAAACATCTGGCAAATCGCCAAGTCGCGAGGATGTGGCGATTTCGCGAAATCGCGAGAGGTATGCCTTAGGCTCCTGCCAGAGTGCCGAAGTTATGGCACTTGGATTTTGTATCCCACAACTTTTCGGTATTAAAGGCAGCGTCTAGCCAAATCTGGACCTATAGGAATTTTACGTGAAAAGTAATTTTGGGGCCCTAACTAAGGCGATGCCTAAGCGGCAGCGCAGGTGACTCCCGCTGAGATATTCCCCTCGAAACTGGACCTCACGATCGTATTCGCATGATTCATGGCGCAACTTATAAGTTTCGCGCGAGGGCCCACGCGAACCTAATGGGTTGTTGCGCCATGAATCAATTATCACTACCTGAGCTGCCGGTTGGGCAGTGGCTTAGTTAGGGCTCCAACATTACTATCCACTATCCACGTGAGGTCCCTTTATGCCCAGATTTGCCTGAACGCTGCTTTTAAAGGCCGTTACGATTGTAAATCTGTCTTCTTATCTGCGGAGCGCCACTGGTGAGGAGTTATGAGCGATTAATGAGTCAAAAACTGAGCATTAAACCAGAAAGAAATTATGGTAAAACCTTTTTAACCCGCAGAAATAATGGCGAGCACAGGGATACCAAGCAGGAACTTTTCTCTTCATTGATAGGTTTGACAATCACCAGTGCTCCATTTAGCTCATAAAAGACTTTCAAATATGATCTTCTGGCTACGCAATCAAATTTTCGCTACAAAAGCTCTCAAACTCCTTGGCAGAAGCGCTCCGCAGAAAAACAGAATTGCACTCAGCGTTCGATGTTCTTAAGAAAAGATGCTTCCCTCCTGGAATCACTTCGACTAATGATCCTTCGCTGGTAGTAAAGTGTCCTGACACTTGCTGCTGCTCATTTAAGGTCTAGAAATGCTGTAGCTAATGATTTTAAAACTGGCAAGTTCATATTTGACTAGAAAAATTACTCATAACTTCTTCCCAGAAGAGCTCTGCATGAAGGGAAAGGGGAGGAGGGTTGGAACAGATTTAGAATCAGCGCCCTAAGCTCTTGCTAAGGTAGGTGGCAGAGTAAGCGAATATTTTGTTCAGGTTGGGGTCCCGCGCACAATTGACGTCACTTGGATTGACGCCAGCATGGTGAGTGACATCCAATCTGCGGGGACCCCAAACCTGAACAAAATATTCGGTTACTCTGGCACTTACCTAACATTGCAGTTTCTGTTGATCGCCCACTTCGACTTCAGCACACTCCCTTGTCACAAAGAAAGTATGGAACGATTGTCCTTCATCATTGTAGGATCACGTAGAAACATTGTGTGGTCCGTTGTGGGTCATATTTTGCCTCAGAAAGAGAAGCGTATAAGCCAGATACTCTTCTAAGTTAGTCAGAGTCGCTAACTTCTCTTTCTGATTATGAATCCATTTTGTACCTCCGAAGCAGTGCTCAGGCAAAATTGGGGCTGTGCAGTTCCAGTGCCATGCGAAAGTAGAAGACCAGATTCATTATCGTCCAAGTGCGAACGCATAGAGAAGCGGGGATACGATCGAGATGTTGAAAGCCTACGCCATGATGAAAGAGTAGGGCCAACTTGTGATTTCTCTAGCGGCAGAGTGCGCATATTACAGTCAAGACCATGGGTCCCGTCGAACTCTGTCTTGGCCTCGGCGGGAACTGCTCCAGTCATCCAAATTCGGAAACGGTTTTGAGAAAATCCCATTCCTCGCCGTTTTCAAGCAGTTTACGAAGATTTTCGAATTCAGCGTAGTGGAGCCCAAACAAGCAAAGAATCTATTTGATTTTGCCCGGATACTGCCATGCTTCGTTCGTAAGCTACTAACAACTTACCCACTTCGTTATTGATCACTAGTGAACCAGTAATCTAAGGCTGCTATTTGGAAGAGCGTTCGCTTTGACCGCCACGCGGTCCCCCGCCATTTGCAGATTTTTGAATTGCGCTTACGTTTCTCTATATATTAGATATATAGATATCAGTAAATCACGGCAACCAGTAACGAAGTGAAACAAGCGGAGCAAGTGGAAAAATGTGCCACAGGTGGATCGGCGAAGCCTGAACGTTGCTGGTCCTGGCACGATCAGAGTTCAAGACGGGCGGCGGTGTGTACTTTTGTAGCCGATGTAAAATCGACTGTTCAGGGAGGTTCAAGCGTTTTTTTTTTCATTAGAATCAGTAATCATATGTACATACGACTAGTGTGGTGATCTACTTTCATAAGACATTCTGCGAGCAATCATGATGGTTACGTGCCCTTAAGCTCTTTAGGGGATTTCGTGCACGGAGGTTCCTACACAAAAAAGCTTTTTGTTGTTTCTGTTTTGTTCTTCTGGACCGTTCCCATCTATGAATTATTAGTGATGTATCCCTAGTCTTGTATCTTATCAGTGTAAGTGTACATTTTAGGAGAAAAATGTGGAAAGGTATTTTTCTGCTCTTTCTTCTTTAGTGTCCGGCTTTGATAAACAATATCACTATCTTTTTTTGCTCAAGCGTGTCCAGTCACTTGCAAGTACTGGTTGTGATCACTGGGTTTTGCAGAAGGCTCCTATTTTTTGTTTTATTATAGCTCTATTCTTCTAGTTTCACACCACTCTCTTTGTAATATGAATGTGAAAAATACGTTCTCTTCGATCAAACCCCTTGAGTAACAATTAAGAAAAGATTTTGCAGTCATGAATCGCGGAGTTTTATCCCTCCTCCGCACGAACCCGTTACTACGTCGAGCTTTGCACAAAGGAGTCGATTCTTCACCACCTCTTCGCTGGGTTTCAGTTCCTGAAAAGGTAGGTTTCTCTGTCTGATACTTTTGCTTTTTTTTGCTTTACTATTTTGAATTTTTTGTGACTTTTTTGCCAGCTTTTTTTCAAATTCTGTCGTTGCACTTTTGATATCCATTGCGTATTTCTATAGAGATTGTTATACATAACGATTATTGTTCAGACTCTTGCAAACTGCAAGTTTGCATATGTGTTTACAACCCCCACACTCGGAGGTGTTTTTAAATCCGGTTCAAACTTAAAATTTTGCTTAATTCGTCGATGCTTGGTTCTCGACTTTTAGGGTATGTTCATACTGAACCAGAAGTCCGAGAACAGTTCCATAACAGCGCTCAGTTCGTGCTGTGCTGGAACTGTTCCCGGACTTCCGACCAGTATGAACGCAGCCTTAGGAGTAAAGCGTGGTGCACTGCAAACGTTTGGTAGTCCAACGGACATCTTTGGTAGCTAAAGGAGACGTAAAGTTGTGGTCTGAAATGGAGGTTGAAAGGTTTTCGACGCAAGTGTCTGCAATGTCCGCCTGCTATGCTTCTGAGAGTCGCTTAACTAACATGCTGATTGAAGAAGGCACTGATCTCGCCTATGCATCTTTGGTGAATACGTTAGTTACGGTAAGGGTCAGAAATTCAGAATCAGCTGAAACTGCATAGAAATTGTAGTCTGCCATATTGATCGCAAATACAGGGTGTCCCAAAAGTAAGTAGACACTTCTCAATCGTCAATAACTCTCTTCCCAATGGGTATTTTTTTGCCAGTTAAGTACCATTCTGTAGAGGAGGCTTCAGCTTACAAGGGAAACGTGTATAGTCGAAGTGGCCTTTTCAAATGAGACTCATACTGCTTTGGAGATTATTACACAGTGATTATCTGCCAAGCGGCTCTGGACGCCGAGCTATGGGCGTTTTTCAGGTCAAAATAATAAAGGTAAAACTGGGAAAAAATCGCCCAAATTTGCTTGAATGGTCCAGGTCGAGTATCAGAACAGTTCATGCAATGGATACACTTTGTCTAATATGCTAATACTCAATTGCTTTATCTGAGCGCTGCAAAGATTGTAACAATTGATTTTACCTAGGTTCTGCAATCATTTTTCGTTCCAAAAAGGGGTCATAACTCGGCGTCCAGAAGCTCTTGGCAGATAATGAACGCAGATTTATAGACATCGTGCAATGCTCTTCAAAATGGTATGGGTCTCATTCGAAAATGCCACTTCGACTAAACACGCTTCCCTTGTTAGACAGTATCGATCGAATCACGATCGCTATTCGTTATTGTAGGACTACGGTAAGAGCCTCCAGCATGTGGAATCATTGGAAATATGTCATCTGACAATATTTTCTTTAAAAAATCTGAAAATTCGTGTATTAGAATTTTCGCGCATGGATCCCACTACTCAACTTTTGCGAGTATTTTCAGCTTTATTGACGGTAACCACATTTCTGACAAATACTGAGAATTCGGTTATTACGGATTATCTGGGATAACTTTGTGAAGAAGCATCACAACAAAGTGGAAATTTCATATTCGAAATCAGCGGCTTCCATTACCATAGTATAAGCTTCTTTGGTTTTGTTCCGAGGCATAATATGGCTTCCAATGGCCTAGAAACCTTGTCGAACTTCCTACAGTATTCCTACAGTAATGAGGAGCGATCGATGATTCTTCGATACTGTAAATCTAAGTTGAAGCCTCCTCTACAGAATGGTACTTGGCTGGCAAAGAATAACCTATTGAGATTGACGATTGAAAAGTGTGTACTTACTTTTGGGACACCCTTTATAATTCCTACTAGTTACGGTAACCATCTCCTGGAGGTTGCGATGGATGTATGGCAAACCTCTTCATGGGTTTGGGATCTTGAGCTCGAAAATTGTGGTAATAGCTATCACACTAAATTTTTTTGATGTCTGAAGTGACGTCAAAAACTTCTTTGTGTGATGGGTAGTTTGGTTCAGCTGTTCGTGAAAGCAAGGAAAGAAACCGTAGATACTGAGTACAAATATGTGCCTTTTCATGAATCTAGTGAATTAGGAGATTGGAGTGAGCTACTAAGCTGCGGCTTGTGTTTTTTGTTGCTTTTGCGCTGTTCTTGTATGATTACGCATCGCAACCGCACGCAAGCATTTTTTCTGAGACACTATCATCATGTGCATGCGAAGTTTTTTGTTATGGTTTCTTGGCTTTTTCTCTGAGAATACAACAATTCGCTTACCAGAAGATTTTTCACTAGATTATTCGGAGATGCTTTCAATTTGATATCGCTTACTGACTTCTTTCATTTTTATTAAGGACAATTGTTTTGACTTGTTTAGCTATTATTAGTGTTCCTGTAGGAGAATCTTCATTCTTAGAAAACCCTCTATTTTTTCTTGGCGGTTGTGCATACTTTCACATGTGACTTTTGCAATAGATCTTCATGCTTTCTACTTGTTTCTGCTGTTCTCCGAATGAAGCAACGTACGTCATACAGTTGCCAAGAGCTGCGCCTAGATTTGTTGATTGACACCGATTATGAGAAAAAAGAATCTGAAATTTTTCCGAAATCTGAGAAATAAATCAGCCAATTTTATTTGACTGTGCATTACGTTGATAGTGGTTGCTGAAAATAGATGCATGCTTGATCCGAGTCAAGCCCTTCTTGGATCCTTTTGGCACTCACAGAAACACGCGCAATTCATTTTGGCGCACCCTGTAGTTTGTTTACTTACCGAAACCATATTTTCAAGTTAGTCGTAAGAAACACCTGCTGATTCCTCGTTAAAGTAACTGCGGATTGATCTGAAGCTGGCGATTTTACATTACACCATGATACTGCACAAGTGGAATGATAATCACGGATTTTTTGAATTTTTATCTCAGTCTCTCTGATAGCTTTGGAAGACGTCCTCAGCACACATCCATCGGCTTTGTCAAGCAATACAGAATAGCCCAAAATGCCTGAATTCAGTAGCTTGAATTTTAGCTAAAGTTCCAAAATTCCACATGGTGAAGTTGCCTGCTATTTTGCATTTTTTTTCTTTGTTCGCACTAACCTCTTGTATGGGGAAACCGCATGTTACTGTTGCCTGCTTTTTAGCAAGTATTGCGCTGTTCCCAGTGCTAATTTACGCCCTGTAACCTTCCTGCAATCTTAAGATGTCTTGAACTTTGTTTACTTGAGCTCGATACTATGTGTTTAGCATCTATGGGCTGCTAGAATTTTATCTGTGCTTTCAAGTCAGAAATTCATGCGTGATTACTATGTTCAGTATAAGTTTTCTCCTTTTCGTATCATTTCCTCTGATTAATATCAATCATCGTAGCCACATATCACTAAGGAATGTCAGTGTGTCGTAGCACTAATTTGCCGTATCGTTTATATCTTTTTCTGATCTATACATCATTTTCAATAATGATTACTAATGTTATGCCTTCGAATATTTCAGATCGCCCTCTACATGTTCATTTCTGTAACATTTTTGTCGTATCCGACGTACGTTCTTCTCAGCCTGGATAATCTTCGTCCAAGGGTACGTTTGGTTTTGAGTCTAGGTTACATCATTTTCTTTTGAATTATCTGCGTTTATATAGAGTATTTTATTATAGTTGGTTCCGTAAGACTCAGTATTCTGGTTACAGGTCGACAACGAACTCAACCCGGAGGTACAGGCTCAAATTGACGAAATCCGTGCAGCTCGCCAATCACATCAATAGTTTTTTCCTCTAGATACTGTAAAGTAGTTATTTCGATGAAAGGTTGTTTAACTTTTGGGAGCAAATAAATGAATTGTACGATTGTTGATTGAGCGTTATGAAATACTATTCACTTTCTATTTGCCATTTTTTCGCCTTCTCAAACGTCACCCTCTCCTGATAGTTTCTAATAACTTTTGAAGCTGCTGGTTTATCTTATCCTTAGCAGCATGCAGCGCAGTGGTGCGTTTGCAAAGCCGAGGTTTTGTCTCACGCTCTATCGTAATGAGGATCCAGGGGAATTCAAAGTTCTTGGTGACAGATGATTCATTCGACGAAGCGGAGACTGCACTTGGTGCATTCATTGAGCAGCGATATGGCAAATTATTTTTTTCAAAGGAGGCCGGAGGGAAACGCTTCTGCAAAAAGATTCTTTGATGTTTTCAATTTTACACGGATGCAACTCATTCGTATTATCCTTTTAGAAAGTGATAAACATTTGAGTCTGACGATTCATGCGCTTCTTCGAAAGTAATCGCAGCGCATAAAGAAGTCGAAGTTCTGTTATTCCTATATATTAGGGTGATCACTAAAAAATGGGGCAGCTTGAATTTTGTCAAATTTTGAGATTTTTGTTTCGATCAACAACAAGCAGGCTGCAACGCAAACGTCGCTTATATAAGCGACCTTCGCCTATTATTCTGGCAAAACGTCAACGCTCCTCTCCCACAATCCTACGCGTGGCGCCCTGAAGAACTCGAACAGGGTTTTTTGAACCTCGCTCATTCTTGCGCTGCCATACCGCAAAGTTATGGAGCAATTGATATATCATTCGAAAGAGCTGTTCATGCTCTTTTAAACAGTATATGAAACATACAGAATTTCTATTTCTGGGAAGCGAAATACCTGGAAAATCGCGAATTTTTGGCGCAACAAAAACCAGTAAATCAAGTTTCAATCTGTATTTTCCGAAGATAGATAAAATGTGAGATAAACTACATATGGATGAATAGAGCGTAAAAAGCTCTTTCAGATGGTACCTATAGAACATGCGTTCACCTGCAAAGCATTGAATAGCACGTATCTTTGTTCTCAAAGCTGCTAATGGCCATATCTCCTGAATTTGAAAGTTTACACCAGCAACCCATCGTGGATCTGGTGACTGTACCTTCACGCATTGCAGCAGTAATACTTTGGATGGTTTCGCATGTTTCACTGCGCAGATACTGCTCGAAGTCTATAATTTGTCAAAGTGACTAACTTTGCATTTCAGCCACTATAAAAATTATTAGTTACTAGCTGGCTTAACCCGGCCCTGTCAAAACACTATGTCAAAGAACACTATCATTCCTGTACGAACCTTTCCCTGTGCCCACGCCTAAATGCCAAATCATTATTTCCGCTGTTTTAGTAATCAGCATGCTCGATTACTCCCCTGAGCCAACTCCCAGCCCTGTTGCTCAAACTATGCAAAAATCGATAAAATCGATAAAAGCTGTGGACGATCTTAGAAACTAATATTGTATTCGGAATCCCCATGCTCTATTACTCCCCTGTGCAAATTCCCAGCCCCGCAAGTTAACTTTGCAAAAAATCGATAAAATCGATGAAAGTAATCGATATTCCTTAGAATTAATATTGTATTTGGAATCCCCATGCTCGATTACCCCCCTCTGCAAACTCCCAGCCCCGTAGGTGAACTCAGCAAAAAAATGGATAAAAATTGATAAAATCGATATCGATCGATGACGAAAAGTAGCCTATGACACTCTCCGGGGCCCGAAGTGTATGTGTGCCAAGTTTGGTCCGGATCGGTTCAGAAATGGAATTTTCTATTCGGAACATACGTACACACACACAGACAGACAGACATACAGACAGGCAGACAGACATACAAACAGACATTCAGCTTTATATATAAGATGTAATTGACCTTATATAGGTATTTTCTGAAAGAGAATAATCTATTCTAACATCTATCAAAATTGGGAAGTTTAATCATTTTTCTTTTTTGAGAAATCAATTTATTCCCTAGGTGTCCCATTTTTTAGTGATCACCCTAATATTAGTTATATTGGCAGATTTGACGAACACGTCTGTGAGAATACTCTTCGAACAGTTCTACCAACAATATTTTCTTAACATGTGAATGTGCAGATCCATCTAGCAGGTGGAAGTTACAAAACTAAGTGGTATTGCAAACCCAGCAGTAAAAACATCTTGGTACATTCTTTGTCTGCAACGGTCTATTGTGGGCAATGTGTACAAAGCAGCTCTGCGGGTATGTTCCGGCGGCGACGGGCGAGCATGCTCCTTGGCGCAGAGGATTGCTGCTTCCAGTGGCTGTGCCGCGCTCGGGCACCGCCATGGAGCACGCGGGTTTTCTCGGGGCAGAGCCCATGCCTAGGGGCACTGATAGCGAGATTCCCTTCTGCCTGCCATTCATTTCTGATGAATTGAGCAGGGCAATGCGGCGAGGCGTACATCAGGCGGGTTTGCACGGCGTGGTAAGAGTGGTCGATATTACTCCCGCTAATCTCAAACGTGGTTCGTAATCGAGCTTATGACCGCATATGTACTACTCCAAACTGCATGGTTTGCCCGTATGGTCAATGTGGGGACGTAGGCTGGCCGGGGTTATCTACCTCATTACATGCTTACCATGCAGCGACACTTACATTGGCGAAACTGGACGCCCGCTTTGCTGTCGCGTTAAGGAGCATATAGAGGTTCGAATAAGCTAAAAGCAGCACCAGCAGGGGAACATCGTATTACGCGCCATGTTAAGACTCCTATACAAGTTACTGTAAAGATCTTGTCGAACCCGAGTTCCTCACGCGCAAAACTTTAGAAGCGTTTCGGATTAGCGCCAAAAATCCAAAAATGAATCCGAGGGAAGAGTATACCGCCATAAAGAGGGAACTCGCGCCTTATCATTCCCTATGCGGATTTAAATATGAGGCCGGGTCATCAAGGCACGTATAAAGGAGCTGAGGTAATGTCTTGTGCATAGGTGCTTCCTCGGACTTCCGTTTTGTGCTATCTAAGGTGAGTACTTTGCGTGTGAATATGATTTTGTTAGCATTAGCTTTGTTTTCGGATGATACTTTGGTCTTTTGTTGACTCTGGGCGAGTAAGTTCATATGATTTCGGCTTGCAGGCTCTGAAGAAGGCGAAAGCGCCGAAACGTTAGCGAATAAAGAGGTGTTATCAACCTTGGAAGTTCGCTCAGCTAATTCTGCTACGAGTCCTTAACATAAGTTTCAACTGGATGTTACTGCGTGGTAATATTCATTTTTTCATGAGAGCCATGAAGAAGACAAAAACAGTGTTTCTCCGTCTTAGCAAGCGGTTGTCGCTAGGGAGTACAGGCGATCACTTTTGTTTGTGGACTTTCTTTCCAAATTTTGTGGTGTTTTCAGCATTGCAGAGTATGTCTTAAGTAAGTGACTTCAAAATTCTATAAAAAATTTTTCCGAAGGAGTTGCGCGGTCATTGTCGTGTGTGATAATCTCATAGCGGTTCGGGACCCATCGTTCTAACCGTCCCGAGTTGGTGTTTGAAGCAACCGCGAGCCAACAGATTTTGCACGGTCTGTATATTTGATCTTTGGACATTTGCTGGATTCACGTTGGCGTTTGAATAAATCCGGAGCACCTTGTAGGATGAAGTCGATAAGTTTACAACCGCTAGTGATTTGGAGAGCATTGAAGACACATTATCCTGTTGAAAATCAACAAACTCACACCGCGGGAAAATGACTTCCATGGAGAAGTATTCCGGAAGAAGTGGAGTTAGTAAAATGAAAATCTCTGGTAATTTTTTAATCGCAACGGGCTTGTAGTATTCATATTGTATTGAGACTTATTCCGACTTAGGCCTCGGGCAGAGTTTACACGATTTGATCGTCGCGATTCAATCGCTAAGGAAAGTGTTACGAGTTCATTGCATGCCGATCTTCTTGTATTTCGGCTGTGGTAGTTATTCACGATTAGTCGTGTCGGAAAACTATCACAACCGAATTACAAGAATATCGGCATGCAATGAACTTGTAACACTTGTCTTTAGCGATTGAATCGATCGCGACGATCAGATCGCGTGAACTCTGTCCGAGGCCTCAGCTGAATAAACTGTTTAATAGCTAGTCATTTTAGAGAGTAATCTTGACCAAGTGGGTCTTATTATTAGTGCGCTGCGATCTAGAATGCCGCAGTCAGCGAAGTAAAGGAGGGAGTGGCACTGTCCTCGAGACCCGGCTTTTTCTGCTCTGATTTTCTCCATTTGCAGGGGTTGTTGAAAGTAGGATTTGCGCGATGTCCTAGATCGAGGCCGTAGTACTCGGTTACGATAGTATCCGAAAGTATCCAAATCTGCCCGGACGCTGCCTTCAAAGTTTGTGAACTTCAGTACGAAGATAAACATTAGATATCAAGTGGTAATGAAAAATTCTGCAAAATCTAGTACGCTGTTCTGCTCATTGTCAATGGATAAGTTGTTCGAATTCCCATAGACAACGTAACGTATGCGTCAGTTGTGGATAAGCCGATAATTATTAGGTTGTTACATAAGTCTTGTTACACTTTAACTGCTTACGGCGATAAGTCATGCACCTCACATTCTTTACAGGGCTTCAGGATACCATTCGATAGAGCAGAGCAAGCTCTACAAGATGGCATGCAAAACTTTGCACCAGCTTTGACCCTCCGTAAGTTTGCATCCGAAATGTGAGTCGCACTGAAGGCGACTCACATTTCGGATGGCTAAAAATTAGGAAAAATTCATATCTTCGTTCAAAAAAATCCTACGATTCTCCAATTTGTTCACATTTTCGCTAACGTGTGCTGGTATTCATGGAGGCTGTAACAGGTTCCATGTGGCTAACTAGGGAGGGATACTTGGTGGCCGTGGTCTTTTGTACTGAGATGTATACCAGTAGGTGCGTCTTGAAACGTTGATTCTAAATCTATGTTCACTATCTGCTGTGCAATTCCCTGAACGAAGCCATGGACTTTTCCATTTTGATTTTGCAAGTTTTAGGCAGTCAAAATCGTCAGTATCCAGGCTTTTTAGACTGTAATGTATCGGTGACGGTTTTTCTGAGCTTAACGTGAAGCTTTACTTTATTTGACGCTCTTTTGTAGTGCGTAAGCGAACATTCTTACGGTATTGGTGAATCCTGCATCAAAAACAGTGCAAATTTTGGTGACAAGAAATTTTCATAACATCTTTTGAAAGAGCGCACAGCAGATAATGAGACAGATTTGGAATCAGCGCTTTGAGATGCATTTAATTAATTAATTAATTAATTCATTGATTCATTTAATTTTCATTTACGGTGTACGTTTCATTTCAAAAGGCCACGGTCACCAAGTACCCTTTCTCTATAAGCAGTGAAAACAGAGGAGCAGTTTCTAGCTTTCTTTCGTGATTCAGTGTTAACAATTGCATGAATTTTGAACAGCAAGCTAGATTCGAGGTTTAGGGTGGAAAAATTCAACATTGGATATCGCTTACATTCACAAAGTAGTGTACTGATTACCGCCACTATCATAAAAACCGTAAGCCTTCACCCGCAGCATAGAGTGAAATTGCCAGAATAAAATTTGTCGGCAAGACGATTTTTACACAAACAATGTTGGGTTATTACTTCTCGAAAAAAAAAGCAAGAGTTAGTGTTAGAGTTAGTGTTTCTCAACGAGAAGCATAAAATTTTTTTTGTAGCTTTCTAAATCTGGTGCTCATCCTTTTCAATGCCGGGTTTATGTAAAAGACATATTGCACGTGTTATCCCCTGTTTTCAAGGTAGTTTCTAGGTAACCTGCTCCTGGGACTTATTGAGGAAGTTTGGATGAAATAGTGTCATGTTTGTATGAAGCAACTTGTTTCCTTGTGAGACAAGGCACAGTGAAACTTTGGTTTCTTGCAGCAAAAACTCAAGAGTTTTGTTACATTCAACGGAAAAATCGTCCTAAGTTTTTAGGAAGATTTTTCTCTTTTCATATTATGTGGAGGGTGTGTGTACATCCCATCTAAAAAGGCCATTTGACTAAACATGGTTCCTTTGTCATTTTCACAATTATGAAATGCTCTACATGTCCGAAACGGTTATGCAAAAATTAGAAAAAAAGTACCTCTGCAGTAGATACCTGCAGAGGTATCTATTTACCGCTGCTTTGATTGTTTAATGATGAAGCAAGAAAAGTGACATAGATATACAAGTAAGCAAAAAACTTTTGTTTTTATAGGAATAAACTATAATACCTAGGCTGATACAAAGTAATGCATATTTTTTCTTACCCTATCTTTCGAGCATTGCTTTTGAAAGTAGAACCATGTTTTAAGAGAACTTCTTAAATATCTTAATGGGCGGTTTTCTAGTTTCTTGCATATGCCTTCACTCCCGTAGATCTCAATTCTAGAGTTTCATGACTTCAAATGTGAGTGATAGAACTTCAAAGATCTTTATTTTCTTCGCTCTACACATGAATATGTGCGATTTATTTCAAAAAATTGCATAATGATCATGAAGCTTTGTCCTACAAAATGCTTCTCTGTACATAATTCAAAAATTTTAAGCAGGAGAATCTAACAGAAACTTGGCTCGTTGAGGCGATTCTGTGGCATGCAAAGAATTTTAGGCAAGCAGCAATCGCGTCGTACGCTATGCTAAAGTAAACCAGTAAACCTAGTGCGTTCAATTGGGAAAATGGTAAGATTTTCTCATTTTGAAGCGAAGTGGAATTGCAAAAGAAAAGTCAGAATTTTGCCACCCACGAAGCAGTTGAAAAAGGTACTTCGACTTTTTGCATTATCTTTTCTCTCAAAAACAAAACACAAAACAAAAATGAGCTGGACGAAACCAATCAAACGAGCGTTGACACAATGAGCAAAGTGGTCCACTCTTCTAAATACATTTCTGATAAACTTATGCTCTCTCAAACTACAGCTTTCCAAAATCTTTTTGTTGATCCTGATTTTGCAAAATATGTATTTCGTGCCGTAGCTATAATCTTATAAAAGTATATGTCGTATGCTTTAAAAAGCTTTGCTCTTTGCGGTAGTTTTCAATGCGCTCAGAAAGACCGTTCCTGGAAAGATTTATGTTGACTCAAAGTTGAGCTATGAAAAACGTGCATTAATTTTGCACCACCTAGATTAAGCGAACTATTTTTCTCACAAGACAACACTTTGCATTTGAATAGACATTATGTCCAAACGAAACAAATTCTCTCTTTTCTGGAGAGGTGTGAAAATGATAATGTAGAGCCAAAAATAGTATTGTTATCCAACGCTGTTGATACCATTCATATAATTTATGCATATAAGGAAAGCATCAAAAGCATACTGTTGTTATTATCGGCTTACCCTTTCGCTCATACAGGTTCATACTCGATTGTGTATGGATTTGGAGTAACTTAGCATAAAGCGAAAAACAATGGGTCCCATAAAAGGACCACTAGTAAAACCATGACCACTCTGACTTACAAGTCATTGTTACGAACTGTAGCCATTTTCTTCTTCTTTTTCCAAAAGCAATAAGACAGATAAAAACATTTATCGTAGAAATCGCTGCGCTGCAGGTAATACAACGATGAAGTTCTCCGTTCTTTGCTTTGCTTTGGCTTCATCGCTGGTGGCTGCGATTCCAAGATCGCATCGCATCCAAGATCCGCTTGATCGTGAAATTTCCCTGGAGCCACTTCTCAACACTAGGACTGCATTTAATCGTGCTGCGTTAGACTACTACATCTCAATTCTCAACGATTACAAAGGTATAAAGCTATTTGATCTTCACTTATCAACTTACCTTTTTTTTCTAGACTATGTCCCCAAGGAGATCAAATTGCTCTTTCGCGGTGTAAGTTTGATTCGCATCTTTAGTTTTTAAAACTGTGCGAAAAATTTGGAGAGCCATGACTGGCTGCAAAATTCCCGTACCCCTTTCATTTGCAGCTCTCCGATTCCACCAAAAATAAGTTGGTGGCCGGAGTGAATGATATCGAAACAGGTCGTGTAAATATCCCTGACGACCCAGATGCAATCATTTCCTACGTCAAGAAGTAAAGAAAATGACCGTGATGGAACTGCGAACACTTGATTTGTTTCAGAACACCCGAACTTACCAAAAATGTTGAGGATGCCATGGAATTACTTATGGATAACTTAAGCGAAGTCAGCAAAACAACCAGAGATCTTTTCCAGAAGGTTGACAATTATTGTGGTGTCTGATAAATAAAGCCGATTCATCGCACACAGAGACAAGGTGCCGCTGCGGACGTTTTCGGCGTCTCTCAGATTAAACGCATTTCTGTGCTTCTCTGACCGTCTGCTCTCTTTCAAACATGAACTATCTTATTCACACGCAATAGCATCCAGTCTCTACATGCGATGAATTGCCTATATTTATTTTCAAGCTGAATGAACTCTTTCCAGTGGTGGAAGAGGATCTTCTCCGCAGTTTCTGCTCCTCGTCCACAGGTGGCCAACCAGGTTGCTAGAGTCATTTCTGGCTTCAAGACCGCTTATGACAAGGCACCAACAGCAGTCAAGAACGACATCGCTAAGACTTGGCCTGAAGCCTATAATCTACTCGAAAGTAAGGATAAGAGGTGCAATTACCGTCACTCTAAATTACCTAATTTACAGCGGATTTCGCTACCAACTTCGCTGCCGCAGCAAAAAAATTCGCCGACGGTGGCCTATCCATGGACGTTAGAATTGTAAGTTCTTTCATATACACTACACCTTCGATCATACATCATTGATGACATTTTTCTAGCTGACCGCCGACGCTGATTACCCACCAAAAGCACCAAAGATCAAGATCAACCGTGAAAGCCTTCTCGATAATGACGCAGATCTCGAGTAGGACATAGCGAAATGCTTTAGTTCCACCTATCGTACTACTGCCTTCAAATGTCTACGGATATAGAGCTACTTAATAAAGTTTTTGGAAAATTGTTGTGATTAACAGTTAGTAAACATTCACAGATGAGTTTGAGAAGGTCGTAAATCAACAAGGCAGGAAAGCGAATACCCCTTAGGACCTGCTTAAACTTTCAAAAGCCGAAGCACGGTGTTAGAGCAGCCAAACATGGAAAGTCAAAAGGCTCAACAATCGACGAAAACTCTTCTACAACCCCATGCACCAGATGATGACGATATAGCGTTACCTCCATGATTTCTTCTCATCAAGTATTTTGATGATTAAGTCAACAGCCACTACAAACCATGCGACCTTTACATTCATAAAAAGTATGCAGATTCCGTATGCGCTTTAGATTAGACATGCGCACTTCCCCCGCCCCCCCCCCCTCTCCCCCTCCACTTTTTGTGGACGCGAAAGAGAAACGCCTTACCCACTGGCTACTTATAAACCTTTCTTGGGGGTAGAGGAACGAACACCGCAATTAGGCACCGCCTCCGCGCGGACTGCTGGTTCCTTCGTCCTACCTCAGACATTCGCGGATGACGACCGCCGGCAAAACGGAGTTCGACTCATTGAAAACATGCGGAACACCTCCGTTTGTTTCGGGACAATTCGGCTATTGGTTCGGAACAAGACTGCCGGAGAAACGCCGGTCGAACAGGTTTCACCTGCGTTTGGTTCGGGATTTGCCTGCAGCACATGTTCGGGTGGAACGCAGGTGAAATACCGGTGAAATGCAGGAGTCCCGAACCGACCATGGGGCATGGAATTAGCCGTAGAGCGCACTTGATATTGTCCAAATTTCCGGCATACACTGTATAATATGTAAACAACAGAGACTGAATCGACATAGATTTATTCATCAACTCAACGACAAAACCATAACAAATGATAAGAAAACTCGTAACAACAAAATCGCAGCAGCAAAATTATACATTCCTGAGCAAAAACAAAACGATCTACTCTCAAGAACAGAATCGCAACAAGAAAATCATACATAACATATGTGAGCAAGACCACAAAAAAGGAATCAATCTTCTTCGGGCGAGTCCCGGACTTCCGTTTTCTCGATTGTTGTCCCTTCGCGTCGTTATTACTCTTTTTTTCTGAAATTGAAAAAAAAACGAATGACATCACAGCTCTGATTAGAGAATCTCACCTTGGGCGGCATGAGCGTCAGGCGTGCTGCATCGAATTCATATTGGCGAATGTCGGCTCTGAAAACAAACGCGGACGTTAGCACCCTCCACAGGGATTTTTTACACCCACCCGGGCGAGATCAGAGATAAAGCATGAAAAACTTACAATGCTCTGCAGATGGCTTCGCGTGCATGCGTCTCCAGTCTGCTCGCGCTTCTGATAGCGCATCGAACCTTTTTCTTCTTTGAGACTCTGTCTCGCCCAAATCAGCCCAGTACCTGAAACGGCAATAGATATCTGTTGTCATTTACGTGGTGAAAACTACCTTCCGTGAACGGGTGTAGGGCGATTCGCATGACCGTAATGCTTTCCGCACAGGACCATCGCCGCGCGCGAAACACCCTGCGGCGGCTTTTGCCTAAGCAAAGCAGGGAGAGGCAATCATTGCGGCGTGCGTGACATGTTAAGACAAGTCAAAATCAGGGCAGCGCTGGAGACCGACCGTGCGAAAAGACCGTCTCCCTCCGTGAACTCTAGCGCAATCTGCGGGTGGTAAAAGGAGTTCATCGCCGAACAATCCCATTGCATCGGGGACGAAATCTAAAATTTGAAGTCAACTCCTTCAAGTGGTCTCAAGGGAACTTGCCTATGAGGAAAGTGACCAATGATTCGGGAAGGTCTTTCAGGCTTTTGTCCTTGCCATTTTTACCGGATTGTCGACATGCGTATTGTTGAATGACGTGACTGGGATCACACGCTTAAATACATGTAGCTCTCGAACTTGGCTGCACAAAGTAGTACTTACGTTGGGGAAATGTCAGCAAAACTGGGATATGCTTGTACAAGAAGCAGCAATCCAGTTAAAAGCTTTAGGAAACAGGCGGAGTACTTGAGCGTGTGCTTGAAGCCGGCTATCCTTACTGCATGCAGAAATGAAAAAGAGCTTGATCGCGAATGATGGCGTCCCTCCGATACCTGTAGGCACTTGTCAAGCACGCCCGGTTAAACCCGAACGACTCACAAGGCCGATCGATTGTATTGATACGCGTCGGAACAATCCCGACGTAATTGCCGTTGAAGTCGGGACAACGGCAGGACACAACTTTGTCCCGAAACAAACCGAAAGTGGGCGGATCTCCGGCGGTCGTCAACCGCGAATGTCTGAGACTGCTGTGCATCGTGTTAGGACAAGTAGTCCGCGGAGACGGTGCTTAAATGAGGTTTTCGTTCCTCCACTCCCTTTCTTGAAACACTATAAAAACATGTCACTTTGAATCTTCAATTTTAACTCCTTTCGAAATCGTTATTTATAAACGCAATTACTGTCAGATGAGTTGTACTTTTTTAACCCTGGACCTCTCAGACATGCCGAGTCCAAACCCACCACAACTTTTGAAACATCCAGAAAGCGATTTTCAAGAGTGAAGCGCCTTGGTCACTCTCGACAGATGAATCGTCAATCTGATGGCGATTGGTGGGGTCAGGGCTCGGCACGAGGTGGCTAGATCAAAATGCAAAAAACGAAGTCTCCCTTGACTTTTGGGTATTTTTACGAAGTCCCCTTTGACCCCCCACCATATTCCCTAAAAATCCTCCAAAAAACGAAACGTCGACTAAAAAAAAACGTCCCCAAATCGCCAATTTTGCGTGTGTCTTCGGTCACAAAAACGAAACCCCCTTTGCTTTTCGTCCCAAAAACGATATCCAGCTTACTTGTAAGCCACCTCGTGCCGAGCCCTGGGTGGGGTTGCTTGCATCACACTCACATTTTTTTTGCCCCAATACCTTTGAAGCTAAAGAGATCTGATTTAGAAACAGCACAAAATGTCTAAGAGACTCGTACGAAGGAATTTTGGCACCGTTTTGAGAGAAATGACACCGCAGTGTATTCCTGAGTCTAAAATTAAAATCGTATGGCATATATATATATCATCATATATAAAGATGCTCGAATGTGATTTTTATTAGATTTCTATCAATAGAATATTGTTTCGGAACTCAAAAAACTGGACTGGACAGCTATTTGAAATAGCGCAATAACAGATTCTTCACGAAACAAGTGAAATTTGATAATATCACACATTCAGTGTAAATCTAACAACACTTCGGTAACTGCGTATGAATACGCCACAGATAACAGCAACAACGGATCTTTGATCCAAACATCATAATCTGGAAATTGGAGCTAATAAACAATATCGCATAAGCTTAACACTTTCTGGATAAAATATTATTTAGCTTTTCCTTTGTTGAATTTTATGATATTTTCTATCGCCAATGCACGCATCTGATCTGTTCTCGCGGAGTCAACCTAGAAAGATAGAAATCAACGAAAATATTATTACGTAGTAGGAGAACTTGCCAACAACAATGGACGAAGAGCCGACCGCAGTGAATTGAACAGATCAGGAAAGATAAGCTCTTGTTGGGCCAGCAACTAAAACCAAATTCTCAACATTCCAAAAATCTAAAGTTCATACAAGTGATTTTTTAACCTGTTTAATTCTATGTCTTTCCGTCGCTTGATTGAAACAAGCTGGACAATTTTCAGCGACAACTGGCAAACCACGGAAATCGGCAAACTCGCGCAGTGCTCGTTCCCGAACAAAGATCAGCGGGCGAATCACTCTCAACGTTCCATCGCTAAAATGCTGCTTGGTTTACAAAAGGAAAGAACGGAAAATTGAGGAAAAGAGCTGCTGGCAATTTTAGATGAGACAAATTTCACAAAGTACACTTGCCGAGTCAGATATTGCGCCTTCATTGTGCTCAGATTACCATTTTGGAAAGCAGCGATGAAGAAACTGAAAATGATCAAGTTAATATAGAAAAAAAATCTGCCACAAAGTTCGGAGAAATTGTGTGTTGATCCCTCTGAAATAGGCTCACTTCTCTTAAAGTGATCAATAATGATATTTGAGCGAGTCAATATCTAGGAACAGAGCCGTGAAGAAAGAAGTTTACAAAATTTTCGAGGTTCTCCTAATCGTATAAATGTGTGTTAATCAAGCAAACCTTCAAGCTATTCATAATGGCGAAGAGATGATTCGTAACAATGTTGGTAATAGTGATCATATTTCAATTGATCCTCAAAAAAATTTCAAGGAAAGAGTAGGGCTCATAATCACTCATAGATGTTCTCTGCTCATCTTATATATAAAGCTGAATGTCTGTTTGTCTGTCTGTCTGTATGTCTGTCTGTATGTCTGTCTGTCTGTATGTATGTACGTATGTTCCGAATACAAATTTTTATTTCTGAACCGATCGGGACCAAACTTGGCACACATATACTTCAGGGCAGGGAGCGTGTCATAGGCTACTTTTCGTTATCGATCGATATCGATTTTATTGATTTTTTGCAAAATTCGAGCTAGAGGGCTGGGATTTGGCAGAGGGGGGTAATCGAGCATGCTGATCACCCCGAAGGGGTGATCAGCATGCTCGATTACCCCCCTGTGCAAAATCCTAGCCCCCTAGCTCAAATTTTGCAAAAAATCGGTAAAATCGACATCGATCGATAACGAAAAGTGGGCTGTGACACGCTCCCTGCCCCGAAGTGTATGTGTGCAAAGTTCGGTCCCAATCGGTTCAGAGATAAAAATTTCTATTCGGAACATACGTACACGGGTCTAGCTGGCAGGCCCGGCGGAGCCGGGCAAGCCAGCTAGTAAGACTATAATATTGGTCGTTATAAGTTCGTAAGTTTTTTTTGGTAGCCATTCTTGATGAAACGGTTGGTATACGGCAACCTGTACCATTCGAAAGAGCTAATATTGCTTTACAAGAACAGTAGTGATGACTCGTTTATTCTATAAACAATTAAAATGATTTCTAAAAATTTTCAAAAATTCAAATTAGCATTATAAACTCTAGACTTTACGAGTTGGGAACCTGCAAAAAATTTGAGGAGCACCCCTCAAATTTTTTCGGAGTGCGTGGCGTTAGTCACGGACCTTCATTCAAAAAGATTTTTGCTCCCTCCCCCCCCCCCCCCCCCTTGGACGGAAATCCTGGGACCGTCACTATTCCCCCGTATGATTTCTCAGAGCAAAGTTTTTTGAGAGGCAAAAATTGGTGATTTCGTCAACTGCACTTTCCGTATTTGGTCCGTATCCCGCAAAATGTTATCCACATATGTAGGCAGAAGGTTAGTAGCAAGCAATATAATGATAAATTTGCAGCACGCCAATATGCTATGAACTGTATAAACAAGGCTTGAGATATGCCCGCTGTTTAGCAACAAGTGGAAAGAACTCTTTGAGAAGTCGTCAAACCAGGAAATTAGATTTGTTCCGAAAACGAACAACAGTTCTTGTAGAGCAAGATTGGCTCTTTTCAATAGTACAGGTACTTTGTCGTAAACAAACTGCTTCATCAAAAATGGCTGCTAAAATAAAAACTACGAACTTATGAAACGACCTAATATATCTTTGAGGCCAAGAATTTTAAAGATTTACAGTACAAGCTCACATTTTTTCCACAATCAGAAGTGTTGAACAACCCAGTTGAACAACTCGAGTATGATGATATCGTGGCTTGACCATTCAATTTAGAGGAATTCACGAAATCCAAACTTGAGTGATTACAAGCAGAAACCTAACAAAAACTCCAGAAGTTGATCAGCCTAGAAGTACTAGTCTACTTTAAGAAAGACAAGGTAGGCGTTTAGATGATCTTAGCAAGCATAATACAATCCCATTGAAACAAAAATCAGTTATCGGAAAGTTCGACTTTCTATAAATCTCGGCATGATGAATACTGTTACTCTTCGACTATTTAGCCACGACCGAGACTGGTAATTTATTTATTTAGGCTAACGTTTCAATAATTCGCCTTCTTCAGAGCCTGAAATGGGCGAAAACAATTTACAGACTACCCGATTAAACATCTAATATGAAAGAAAACTTACAATTTTGCCTGTAGGGTTGAGGAGATGTTTGATCGGGTAGTCTGTAAATTGTTTTCGCCCATTTCAGGCTCTGAAGAAAGCGAATTATTGCCGAAACGTTAGCCTAAATAAATAAATTACCAATCTCGGTTGTGGCTAAATAGTCGAAGAGTAACAAAAATCAGTCAGATTCAATTTTTTCTAGTGGCGGTCCAGAACTTTTGCGAGGCACGCCAGAAACGTTTTCTCATATGGTGAATACGTCGAATCTTTCAGAAAACTTTCCAGCTTTACAAATTCGCCCGAACTCGCTTTTTACAAGGTTTAATTGAACATAAGGCTTGTAAAATTATTTCAAGTATTTGTAACCGAAAATGCAAGTGAAAATGGAACGCTATATTGGAACATATGCATACAAAAATACATACTTGTTCGCAAATGCTCAAGTATAGAGGACTACTTGTCAGTTGTTGTCTTATGACCCAACCAAAAGATACCTCGAAATACGAAGCCTCGACTATGCACAACAAGACTCTCATGAAAAATGAGTGAGAAGCTAAATGTTCTTGATGCTTATTATGGAAAAACCAGTTAAGAGAACAGTAATCTTTTCACCGGTCATGGAAAGTGTGACGCCATTTCCGCATCACAATAATATCACCAAATATTATCAGTTTGCCGTTTTGCATATATCACTCATGCTGATTATGTATGTAACTGGGCGAAAGTTTAGCATAAACCTATAAGCAATATAAGTAATATAAAAGGACCATCATATAGCTGTGGTCCAGTCAACTTTATTTCTTCATAGTATATACAGTTTTACTCCTTACGATTTCCGAAAAGGTTCATAGTCTCCATTTTAGGTAACATAACAATGAAGTTCTCCATACTTTGCCTAATTTTGGCTTCATCGCTGGTCGCTGCGATTCCAAGATCGCATCGCGTCCAAGACCCACTTGATCGTGAGATCTCTCTGGAGCCACTTCTCAACACTAGGACTGCATTCACTCGTGCAGCACTGGACTACTACATCTCAATTCTTAACGATTACAGGGGTTTGGAACCAAATATTTTTATAATGTTAGTTAATCATATCTCATTTTCAGATTATGTGCCCAAAGAGATCAAACTGCTCTTCCGCGGTGTAAGTTTGTCTATACTTTGAGATATGTCAGTTATTCGTGTGCCAGCGCCGTACCAGCACCCGTGTGGAAGCAGCCCTTACTAATCAATCGATGGCGCTGGCACGACAATAGCACGGCGCTGGCACATCCAGCTTTGAGTGAAACTTTATCCAAGGCATACTTCCAATATGAGCAAAGCCATTTTGGCTGTAATACTGCTGCACCCATTCTCATTGCAGCTCTCCGATTCCACCAAGAATAAGCTTGTATCCGGTGTGAATGATATTGAGACAGGTCGTGTAGACATCCCCAACGATCCAGATGCAATCATCGCTTACGTCAAAAGGTGAGAAAAACAATTTTTCATATCGGGCCTAACTGTGATTCCCCTGTAGAACACCGGAATTAGCGAAAAATGTTGACGATGCTATGGATTTGCTCATGGATGATCTAAGCGAAGTCAGCCCAAACACCAGGGATCTTTTCCAAAAAGTGGGTGAAGAATTTTTTACATTATGAACAGCTCGACTACGAACTTCCAGTGGTGGAAGAGAATCTTCTCCGCAGTTTCTGCACCTCGTGCGCAGGTCGCAAATCAAATTGCCAGAGTCATTTCCGACTTCAAGACAGCTTATGACAGAGCACCCAAATCTGTCAAGAACGATGTCGCTAAAACCTGGCCTGAGGCCTACAATCTGCTCGAAAGTAAGAACAGTCCGACATGGGGCTCTAAATTTAACATAAATCCATTTTCAGGCGATTTCGCCACCAACTTCGCCGCTGCAGCAAAGAAATTCGCCGACGGCGGTCTCTCCATGGATGTCAAGATTGTCAGTTTTTTTGTACAAGTCTGTTGACTCCTATTATTCCATTTCAGCTGACTGCCGACGCTGATTACCCACCAAAGGCTCCCAAAATCAAGATCAACAATCGTGCTAGCCGTGATGATAACCTGGATTTCGAGTGATCCTTACCGAAATCCTTTCTTTGTCTATCATGATACGCGCATTTTATTAGCCTTGGATGCGTCATGCTATTCTAGCTGCTTAATAAATCTTTCCCACAACATGTATATTGAAAACTCAAATCAACCAAATGAGCCTCAGTCGCAAAAACTTGCATTCCATCTCATACAACAGCATGTGTCATAAACTGGCAATACTTCCCTGGCTGAACTGTTATGACTCTCTACTCCGCCATGCTCATACTTATATTTGACCTCGAATAAGAAAAAGAGCGCACTAAACGACGGACATTTGGCATTTGTTGTCGCGTAAGCAAAAATAATTGCGGCGCCATGAAGATCGTAGTAAATACCTTTTTTCACATCAAAGTATCCGATCACTCAGTTCTTTTCTTCCTTTCCAAATCGAGAAATATAATGAGCTACTTATCACCTTTGGTTATTAATGCCACTTTTTGCCCAAATGTATGGCATTCTTACATATCTCTTACGCGACACCAAACGCCAATTGCGCGTCATTTAGCTAACGCCACTTACGCTCAAACGTTCTCGATCAGCTTGACAGAATAAATATGGCGTTTACACTTATATAAAAGGACCAACCTTTCCACTACATCATCAAGATGTTGGCCCATCGCCAATACATTCCATCCATGAAGATGAGCTGCAGCAGCTAATCGTCCCCTTTTCATTCTGCTACAGTATGCACAGATCGAACGCAAATTCTCTATTTTTCTTGCATGTCCGATTATATCTAGAAAAGCTTTATAGGACAGTGAATAATAGATAGCTTGGCCAACCTTGTTCTTCATAAAAATAATCGATATTCAAAGATCGACAATATTCAATTAATGGGCGAGGATTATATGCTGTTGATCCAGGATCTACTGTAATCGCGCCGAGCTCGAAGTTCGTGCTGAAAACATGGAAACTGAGAATAAAAACGGAAGAAATGTATTAGGTTGTCCCATAAGTCTTTTCATTTTTGAATTTTCGCTATGATAAGTCACACACTTCTTACTCTAAATTGACATCAGGATACCATTCGATAGAGCAAAGCAAGCTCTATAAGATGGCGTTTACGCTTTCGCACAAGCTTTGGTCTATCTCAAGTTATAAACCAAAATCTAAAAAGTTTCGGATGGCCAGAAAACCGAAAAATTTTTAGATCTTCATTCAAAAAAAATCCTACAAACCTCAAACTCGCTCACGTGTATACATTCCACATAAGACATTCATATGTGCTGTTGCTGCATTTTTTCTTTATCGGCTAGAAATCAAGAAACCGAAAATTTTCCTGTTTTTACCAAAGTGATGCTGTGCTGTTTTTACACTGACAGTTGTATACTACAAGAACTTAGAAGTACAACTATAATTTTTTAGCTCTATATAAGCTCTGGTTTCCGAGAAATGTTGATTTAAGCGTGAAAAACCCAAGTGAAGAAAGCTAAATTTGATATTTCTCGTGAACTAGAGCATATAGAGAGCCAAAAATCTACTGCAGTACTTCTGAGGGCTTCTACTATACAACTGCTTGTGTAAGAACAGCAGCATCACTTTGGTAAGAACATGAAAATTTTCGGTTTCTTGATTTCTAGGTGATAAAAAAATGCAGCAACAGCACATATGAATGTCTGATGTGAAATGTATATACGTGAGCAAGTTTGAGGTTTGTAGGATTTTTTTGAAGAAAGATATAGAAATTTTTCGGTTTTTTGGCCATCCGAAACTTTCTAGATTTTGATTTAAAACTCGAGATAGACTAAAACTTCTGCGAAAGCGTAAACGCCATCGTCCTGATGTCTATTTAGAGTAAGAAGTGTGTGACTTATTATAGCGAAAATTCAAAAATGAAAAGACTTATGGGACAACCTAATAGTTAGAGTAGCGCAGATTGGGCTGCCGCAAATGCACACAAGCAATATTTGCGCGTAAATTCGCAGTTGCTAAAAGCTTCTCCTGTGTGTCATTTTTCTATTTTTTTTTCTTCAGTTTTGTGTTTTAGAAGCGGGGCATGGACGAAGAGCTGAATGTTCAATGGGTTAGCGATAGAATCACCGCCCGTGACGTCCACAGGTTCAGTAAAAGGGATAAACACATCAAAGCAAATAAATTGCGTCAAATGTTCAATGTAAGCGGTTTCAGATATAGTTAGTAAAAAATAGTACACAAAAGAAACCGCATGCCCACCTCTTATTCTTTCTACACCTCATTTGATAAAAATGTAGAATATGCAACAGGGAGAGCGAATCTTTACCACCAGATAAGCATACCAAAATTTTGTCGCCTTCCTAGAACACATGTAGAATTCTTCACAAAAACTTTTATCTGCGCAGAGGCTTACCTTTATCATACCCAAACCATGTATAGCTTCCGTAACCCTCTTGTACATATCTAAAGGTGGTGCATGCCACGGTAATTTAGCTTCTTCCTCGGGGACCAGTTCTCGTTTGCGCACTATTACGCGCCTATCCCAGTCATCCGAATCCTACGAAATATAGATTTATAGATTTCAACGTAAGAGTTCAACTGTGTGACGACTGTCATGAAAGTGACTTATTCTACCATATATTCACAGAAAACGAGCTCATGAAATTTGAAAATCGATACGGTACGGTGAAATTTCGCAAAACTGCTATAGAGGAAAGAAAAGTGGAAATCTTGTATGTATAGCTCAAAAGATCCGAACAAATGTACCTTAACCTCCTCAGGATCTTCATCGGTACCAAGGTCTCCCATTCTTTCATTGCCTCGCTCAGCTGAATCTAGTGAGCATTGAGCTACATCTAAAACATATTTTTAATCACTACAAATTCGGCAAAGCGCAAGCTCGAACCTCCAGAACTGCATGGATCACAACTATCTTCACAGTGCTTGCTCATTTTCTCTTCCGAATCTTCTGTGTCCTCATAAATTTCAGGCTCGGTAACGCCGTTTGCAGCAATGCTATCTCCCTGAATGAAGTTTGATTTTCATCTGATAGAGTGAACAGCCAGATATACAGTTCAAATCAACTCACATTGATTTGCTCATTGCATGAGGTTTGCAGTTCAGTTCCTATTTCTCCAGTCATCTCTGCAACTACTTTCGAATATTTTCGTGGTACAAAAGGCGGATTTGGGTAGTCCACAGAGATTCCCATTGCGCGTTCAGTCACCTGAAAAATAAGCAAAATGTTATACGATAGGGTTAAGAATGCGAACAAGCAAAACGTGTAGGAAAGAGTCACCTCGATGGGGAGCACAAACCAGCGCAAATGAGCGTGACGTTCGTCGATCGCAAATCTGCCATCGGGCACAACGGTCTGCAAATATTGAACTCAAAAACAAATCTTCGTAATTGCTGGAGAATTCTTATTCTTATTATTGAATTCACTCTGTATCAAAAATTTTAAAAACATCTTTTTGCTATCTGCTTGAAAATTTTCATTATCTGGTACAGAAACGGATGGAAGATCCGCAACAGTCTCATTCACAGAAGAATTCCAACACCATAAACAGATTTCATGACCAGCATATTTGTCAGATTAACTCTTCAGCCGCAAAGAACACTTCCCTCAATACCGCCAAAAAGAGTCATGGTACCTCTGTTCCAGCACTTCGAAATACATCGGATTAGAACCTACTCAAAAATAAATCACACCTTTTCCACCGCCTCCAGGCTCTCATCAGCTAGCCGTTCAGCCTCTTCAATTGACTTTTCGGGTAGCACAGGATCGGATGTATCTCTCTAAAACAAAACCTATACATAAGACCTTATGATGGATTGTGTGTCAAAATCCCGCTGTTTCGGACTACAGTATCGTAAATGGAAATTACTGTCTCCTCCTTGAATCTACTAAAAACCCTAATTAATCACCTTCTTCTCTTCAATTACCATACCATGCTTGGTGAATGATACATAACCTAACCACTTTCGAGCGTGAAAAGTGCGTTGTTTATGATGATGCCATTCGGCACTCTCACAATTCAGTTGGTACTGTAAAATCATTACGGATATGATGAAACTCAGACAAACATAGTACACGACAAACCAAGTGAATGAAGTCGGCGGCTCGTTCGGACACAAAGCGGATACAATCGACAAGATGATCTACCTAAAATATACCCATGAAATTGAAAATGAGTTTTTCATGGGCCCCACCTGCTCATCTGACCAGAAATATGGAATCGACACTCTTGTAAATCCTGGTCGGAGCATTTCTTGAGAGGAATATTCTCCAACTCTTCGAAGATGCGTTCGATCTAGTCCTTCAGCCTCACGCAGCGCAGCCAGGTATTGCGCAGCTAGCTAAATTACTTTTAAGCAAAATGGAAGTTGTTTCAATGCGATAGAAAATTAGAATAAATATAACCAGACGTTTAAAATAGAAGTGGCGATGAATGAGTACGTAGACACGGACGTGGATACCGTTAAAATAATATATGTAGAGGCGGATGGATGAATGAATGAATGAACGAATGAAATAAGTGAATTTTTTACTGGGTGGATGACAAAGTTTAGAAGAAGCAATGGCGGAAAAATATAAGATTGTGGACGTGAGTTTTCACTCGTAGATAAACGAGATATTTTTCGAAAATTTGAAAAGCTTTGCAAAATTCCGGAGGCGTTGCTGCCGTCAAACCTTTTTTCAAAATTATGGAAGCCTGCAAGAACTTTTCGTTTCTTAGAGTTTTTAGAAGGGGGGGGGGGGCTTAAGTAACCCTCCCCCCATACAAAATTTTTTCCTTGCACCCATTCGCAGGAAAAACTTCTCGTCTTGGACAAGGATAGGGTGATGAATGAACACGAAAAATAGCTCCTAGACTTTGCTCAGTATTCAAAACGTACCTGCTCGTCAATACCCATCAAAAATTGTGCATAAGGCCCTGCACACATGCATCCAGCACGAGACTGTATGCCGAATAAATCATTCAACAAGGCAGAAATGTAGTTATGATGGAAAAATAGTCCAGAGGTGGGATCCTAAAACACTGCAGCTTAAAGAAGAATAGGGATAGTGATTAACAGAACCTCACCTTCACAAGGAACGAAAATACTGCAAGCCTATTCCCAACCGCTGGAGCTCCTAACAACACAACATTGTCGCATTTTTGCAAGCCTTCGAGGAATTTACTGAACGAATTTTGTTTGAAAATGACTGCAATTGATTGTGGTAGTTGATTCCCAGAAAAGAAATGACGAAAAAGAAAACCGATTGCCACTTACTGAGACTTATGCGTTTCCGTAGCAATTATAGCTTGTTCTCCTATTGCCCTCTTCAATTTCACTGCTAGCGCAAGTCGAATTATGCCTACACTGTCGGGAGTGCCACCTTCTTCACGATATTCAGCATCTTTCAAATACCACTCTCCAGCCGGGGACACCTAACAACACCGTCTGATGTTTAAATGGTTCCAAAAACCTCAAAGAACTCACGAAAAACACAGTTCCTCCACCGATTCTCTTAGGATTTGTAGTTCGTATCAAGGATTTTTTGACAACGAGTACTCCTGAAAAATCCATGAGGACTTGATTGAATAAAGTAAAAAGATAGCAAATATAAAAAAATGATTTACCAGGGGTAGAAACGCCTCCAACAAACTTATGACCAGAGAAAAACACTGCGTCCAGCGGTTGTGTGCCATTCACATTAATATCAACGTAAGGTGCAGCCGATGCGTAGTCCCATACAACTATCGCCTTATACCTAGGATATGTGAGCAAATATCCAAAATCCAAAGAATCTAATCAACAAAGAAAAGAAATGAAAAACAGACCTTTTGGCAATGGCAGTAATTTTCTGTACATCTAGGCATATCCCAGTGATATTTGAACAAGCGGTAAAAGCTGTCAAAATCTGGCAATCTGGATGAGCTTTGCAAGACTCCTCCAGTACATGGACCAAGTCGTCTGAAAAATTTTCGTAGATTTACTTGATTCAAACTCCAAACGTTCAATTCACAGGAGAGAACTGCCCACAGAATGATAAAAAATTGAGGCTATGATTGCGGACCAGTTCTCGCGAAGGCAGTGACATAATAGTTTGACGATTAGATCACACAAGAATTTTAGAGTCATTATAATGAGATACCAATATCTATTGTTCCATCTACGGCTTCCTTCACACAATAACAAGCTTCTGCAATGAATCGCCATGGTAATAAGTTGGAGTGATGCTCGTGGATGGAGTTGATGACGACCTAGGTATATATAAATTTGTAGCTGAGCATATGTAGCTTCTTTCATGCTCTTGATGACATGAGAATGTCGTTTCAGTGAATTCATTTGATCTAATATTAGGTTGCCACAGAAGTTTACTTCTATGAATTAGAGCAAATATGAAGGGGGGGGGGGTACTGTAACGGCATTGCAACCTTCTTTCACATCGATTTGTTAAAAATTCTCTCATTTATCTTTTCAAACTTCTAGATTATTTCGTGGATTTTCGGAAGTAGTAGTGCTATACAAAACAGTTTGGAGTTTTGAGCTTTTGATAACGCAAACTAGAAGTTGATCAATCCGAAAAATTGTTAAAAAATAAAAATAGAGTCTTCATGACTAAAAGCATTTATCAGAAAGGTGCAGCTCAATTTCAAACCTGCTAATTTCTTGAAGTAACAAGGATATCTCCTCATCGAGTGTAATAGAAATTATGATTACTACATATTATAGGCTTCCGATGAACTGGCACCAATTGTTCACAGATATCATACCTTAGACCAAAGTTGCTTACAGCAAATGATATATATGCTCTCAGAGTCAAGATACAATAGATAGATACTTCCTAACATTTGTGCTGCTTTGGATTATACTTTTGAATGAAACTATTTTTTTGAATTTTATAGAGAATATTTCCACAAAAAGTCAAGATCTTTAAAGCAGCTTATCTAGTCTATCAAAAACCACCTGGACGATAAGTTTTCATGGTCAAGAACTCGCCAAATCAGTAATCGTGGGAGCTCTTGAAAAATTGGTTCAGTGAATTGTAGCACTCAGATATTAAAGGCTTGCAAAACGCTCATCACTCTTGCAGCAATTTAATTTTATTACGATAAAAACTATGCAAACTAATCCATCCCTCTCGTATTCCACTGCCGATACAAATTGAAAAATACTTCCCGGAGGTTGCGTTTATTACCACATTCAAATTTTCAAACAGTTTTTAACCCGCCAGTAATCGAGCAATCACTTTTTACTCCAGAACTTCTTCCTTAGTATTCCAAATCCAACACTCACCAGTTTTTCTGGCTGCATCAGGTGAATTAGCAATTCTACGGCAGCTGTAGTACCCGCACCAGTGAAAATCACGCTATCTCCGTCACCAGCACCAGTCATTGACCGAATTTCTTGTCTGCAATCAGCACTGTATATTTCTTTTGGGAAAGAGGCTTCAATGATAAGAATAAAGGCTCTAAGTGCGCACCTAACTCACAAGTCCCAACCGCCCCTAGAAAGCTATTCATTTTGCTAGACAGAAAAATGAGAGTGAGATGGAAATTGTAAATGAAGGGATATCATTTTCGACTCTAATTTCCTTATCTGCTACTAGTTGACTTACCCGGCTCCGCCCGGCCCTGTCATTATTATATTCGTAATCAGCATGCTCGATTACCCCCCTGTGCCAACTCCCAGCCCCGTAGCTCAAATTTCGCAAAAAATCGATAAAATCGATATCGATCGATGACGAAAAGTAGCCTATGACACCCGCCGGGGCCCGAAGTGTATGTGTGCCAAGTTTGGTCCGGATCGGTTCAGAAATGGAATTTTCTATTCGGAACATACGTACACACATACATACATACATACATACAGACAGACAGACAAACAGACATTCAGCTTTATATATAAGATAGATTTGGGAAAAAGTTATGAGCGTTGAAGGTGCAAATCATGAAGAATCTAGAGTGATGTAGTCGCCAGAAAGCTGTTCAGGAACCACTAGGATTCATTTCGGTTCCAAACATTGGCGGAACGGAAGATGCGGTTTTCAAATTTTATAAAACTGGGAAGCTTCATGAAACAGTTTTCTGCCTCCTTAAGCTTTGATGTGAAGCTTTTTCAGAATGAAAAGCAACTCAGAAATCCATACGCAACTCTTTGAAGCGAAAATTCTTTTGTCGCTCCTTTCGCCCCCCACCCAGACTTCTACTTTAAAGGCAGCGTCCAGGCAGATATGGACCCATGGGGCTTTTACGTGGAAGGTACTTTTGGGGCCCTAACTAAGGCACTGCCCAAGCGGCAGCTCATGTAGTGCTCTAATGGTTGAGATATTCTTCTCGAAACTGGCCCCCGCGAACGTATTCGCATGGATTCATGGAAGTTTCGCGCCAGGATCCACGCTTTGCGCCATGAATCCATGCGAAACACGGTCGCGGGGTCCAGTTTCGAGGGGAATATCTCAGCGTTAGGGCACTATAGTGGTATACCTGAGCTGCCGGTTGGGCAGTGGCTTAGCTAGGGCCCCAAAAGTACTTTCCACATGAAATCCCCATAGGTCCAGACTTGCCTGGACGCTGCCTTTAAATGCTCTCTTAGGATGACATTTGTTGGATATTGATGGTAAAATTACAAATATAGTGAGACTAAAAATTCTGTATGCACAGTAATTCTCAGAAATGTTGGGAAGAAAAATCGGAATCAGCATTTTGAAATGCATTTGGCTTTACACTTTTCACAAAGTGCCGCTACCACAACATCCTTCTTCCCTTTGAGGACCCTCACTGGAAGAAAAAATCAGTCATTTCATATGACTTTATGGGAATGCTAGAGCGGGCTGTCAAAAGTACGGTAGGGCAATTCTGGCCACGGAATAATGCTAGCTACCAGTCACGAGCTTTTTGGGCATACCTCGCTTCATGGACGAACAGAGTAGTCTGCTCAGATGTTACAGTCACTGAACTATGCGTATTTCCATATAAAGGAAGCACATTATCCACAATATAATCTTCGATGGGACGAATAGCACGTGCCGAAGCTGTGTAGTCGCAGTAGATGGCTGAAATGAGAATTAAGAAACATATGAATGATAAAGTGAAGAAGGAAGAGCGGGAGGGGGGGGGGGAGGGAGAAGAAGAGGTTGTGCGCCTTTCTGAGAAGTGATTGCCAGTAACCACAAAATGATGCGACCAAATGAACTCTGACTGTGAATAATCGAAATTCTCGTAAATATCATTTAGAAAATTAAGTTCAGTGCAGGAATAATACTAAAGACCTCTTTTCCAAAACATTCTGAAAACTTGGTGAAAATTCAAAAGTATCCCAGAACATTTCAAAGACGCAACCCGCGTCACACCCGTTCGTTTCAAAAGTACTTCTATTGCATCTTGTCATCCCCAGAGTCATGGATTTTTAGGATTCTCATAGCTAACGTAACGTTTAGTAACGACCCAACGCACCTTGTCGTCTTCCAAATGGGGTTTCTATCACAGCGTCTCGTCCAATTTCATTTTTTCTTATCCATGGCAGAAGTTCGGCGGAAGCGGGCGGAGACGCTGATGAAGCAAGTGCCTCGATCTGAGGCACTCGTTCACCGAAAAGTCGCTGCATCAACCACCACCAACAACCTAATTATCCTACTTCTTTACTGGTGAAATCGATCCGAGAAGGAGATGGACGAGTAGAACCCCCTCTGAAATGACTCGATATGGAAGTGAAGATAGTACTACTCCTGAACGCTACTGTAATTCTACTGATATCATTCGCTACAGATAACTGGATATTGTTGAAAATACGACAGGTATGCAGACGAGCTGCCAACTCTCGTTTCAAAACCATTTTTTCATGTACTAGTAATTTGCCTGAGTGATTAAGAACTAACTGACTAAGAACCGAACACTTTTGTAACGGAGGGCAAAAGGATGGTAAGTGAGCTAGGTAGTGTCGTTCTTTGACTCCTCTAGCCTCTCAAATCCGCCCGCTTTCATATCGTCAGTCGGTCGAGTCTCCTACTAGGAAATCAAGATATTCGAAATTGTAAGACTACATCTCTTAATCTACCAGTAATCTTAAACGGATTTTATGATTAGCGCAGAAGTGAAATTGTCCAAATTTAATGCATGTTCCTCATGCTATCGCTAGATTATATAAAAAAAATTTAACATATTATTTGAGAGCAAAGCAAGCCGTATAAGATGTTGGAACATTTGCATAAAGATTGTCCTCGTAAAGTATGGTGCAAGAATTCAAAAACTTGAATTATCCAAAAAAGGATGCTAGTCCACTAAATATTAGGTTTATAATAAGTTCGTTCGCTTTTTGGTTAATTTTTTTCTCTATGTTTTGCAAAGCTTTTGGCAAAATGTTTATATGCGTTCGGAAGCATAAAGATGCTCTACCTACCTATTATCATTAATTTCTAAATGAAAGGTTAAATAGAAAATTTCACAAACTGAAAAATCAGAAAAGGCAAAAAGTCCATTAAGAACTATCTGCTGCGTTTTGAGTAAGTTTGAACGTCTGAAAAAAAAAAGCCCGAAAAACTTGCGACGTATATAAATAGCGCCATAGCTTTTGTAGACTACTTATAGTTGCTTCTCAAAAAATCATATTGTGAACTTGAAAGTGGGTCTGCTTTTTGACGTCTCCTTAGTGTTGACGTTGGGCTTCTGAAGGCACCTTGACAGAGGATTGTTGTCAAGGTAATCTGTGATTGCAAAATTATCGTATATATATGGGTTACTTACTTTAAAATTCAAAGTTTGCAGACAAACATCTCAAACAGGTGAAAAACGAATGCCGTTGCGGCAAGTCTTGGTTCGCCAACTTCTGCAGAAAAAAGCATCAAACGGTCGGTCAAAAGAAGTGAGCAAGTATTGACAATGACGGCAAGTTTTTATGTGAATAATCTGTTGTTTCGTTTGTTGTTAACCCTTTTGGATGATTCTTATCAACAAATAACGGAAAAACTTGGAGATAAAAAGATATCGAAAATGGAATTTGTGCCTTCTTAGATTTTTCAGTTTGTAGTCAAATTTTTTTATTCAAGTCTTCAAGATTTGAGAAAATAATGATAATAGTTTTTTAAGGCAGGCTTATTGTTAGAGCTTCCCAGTGCATACAAACATTCTACCAAAAGTTTCGCAAAATATTGAGAAAACGCAAAAACGGAAAATGCGAACGAACTCATTACACAACCTAATATTTCATACCTCCTGCTTGCTCAAAAAAGTATCATCGGCTCCTAGATTCGTGTGAAGGCGGGTTGCGGACTTAAGCCAAACTTGTTAAACCTCTGGATAGCATTCTATTTCGCACTCTCGTTGAGCTTATCCTTAAAAGGAGAGTCCCAACGCGCCTCCACACGACTGGGAGCCGATCATACTTCATTGTCAGACATTCCCATTTACAAAAGCTGTATTTCTCCATAGTTCTAGAGCAAAAAAATGAAGTTTGGCATGCCCTTGTCCAAGCAAGATGGGAAGTTTGCAAATAGAATTTTTCATACTACCGCTACCATTGTTAGCAGGTGCAAGCATAAATTTACTTTCTGCAAGCGTTATTCTTTGAAACTTGTATTTAGCCTAGAAAACAAAAGAAGTAATTTTTTTACTAACCTAATTCCGTTTCCGTAAAGTAGAAAATTCAGAGATTAAACCATGTGCCTTTCTGATTTGATAGTGGGGAGTAAATTACATATGCATGCTAACCAGACAGCAGAATTTTTTGGACGAAGATCCAATTTGGGGGTTCAAATTCTCGGTTCTGGCTTAAACTTCAACTTGTTCTCTTACAAATGCTTTAGTGCCATCTTGTAGTTTATCAGATAACATGTATTTACGACGTTTTACTTTTAGTTTATTTTGCCACGGTAGCATGAGAGACAGGCATTGATTTTGATCAACCCAATAAGTAAGCTCAAATACCAAACTTTAAAATTTCCGAGTGATATTCATACGGGACAGATACTAAAACATATTTAAGACCTCACGAACATGGAAAATCATTCCGAAGCTGGCCTTGAACGGGGAAAACTGATTAAAAACAAACCAAAACACACCCAACATTTTCTTATAAGAGGGAGAGAGAAAAGAAAGAAAGAGGGTGAGAGGAAACAAGCGAGAGGATAGAAGAGAGGAAAGGAAAAAGAGAGAGAGAGAGAGAAAGGAGAGAGAATAACAGAAAGAGAGATATAACTGGGAGGAAGATGTTAACCGACTTCCAGCAAAATTCGAACGAAATCATTTGAGCACAAGCTAAAAATAGCGGGAAAAGAAAGCGCAAGAAGATTTGTGGATCTGTTGTTTTAGACCAACTTTTTTTGAATCAACCTTACGAACGAATTCGCCCCATGATATTCAAATGAATGATATTGGTTCACCGAAAAAAAAGACCATTTGCGCCAAGGCATGGCCTATGTGGTACAATGACCAGTTAGTATAATCGAATGAGGTGTTATTTCAGACACTTCCACCTTCATCATGTGACGTGACCGAACTGCGACAGATGACATGGTTGCAGTGTCAAAATGCCTCTTACGCCCTCGTCGAACAACATGCCAATCTTTATAGACAATGCAACGATATGACGGGTAATCCTTTTTCCATGCAAACTCCAACTCAGATCTCAATATTCATTGACATGTCTACAACTATAGCAACAACATAGACATAATATGATAAACTCAATGGAAACCAGAGATCTTCAATGGCTAAAAATTACAATCAAAACGTGCACATTAAATCCGCCATTGTTTCGGATCCAGACTTAGGTTGACGTGAATATCGCAAGGCTCTTAAAGGAGTCTCAGAGGGCTTCGCAACAGGTTAAGACTTAATTGGAGAAACAGAGAGTGATCGTTTCCAGACATCACGATGAAGAATGATTCATGTCGTGTGATCAAATGACCAAGAATAACAATCCACTATGGAAGATTCAATTCATGTTAGCAATTCCTGTTGTTTTCGCAGATCTTAGGTATCGGTCATACCTCGAAAGATTGTACCAAATGGTGGTTGCCATGCAATTTCGCAGTCCACCAAAGGTCATGTTCGAAAATCGAAAGCATAGGTGCATAACTTTAAGAGACGCGAGTGTGTCAAGCTTTGCCAATATAAAGGCTTATGGCAAGTTACGAACAATCGTAGCGATGCCAAATCGAACGATGGTTGATAAGTTATGACCGATACTTTAGGCAGTAAACCGAGGAAATCCTGAGAATCAAAGTGAAGCAGTTCTGCCTCGATGAAACGAATGGCACTTGAACAACATCAAAGATATAAAACAATCATACACTGAATATCGTAAAGTGATGTGAACAAAATAAATCACCAATAGTGAAGAAAGCACATGATATTGAATTGCAAAATGCACAAAATCCACTAACTCATCGTTGGTGTCAATAGTTGAGGCGATGTTTGATGCAAAACTTTAGAAGGTTATCGACGCAATGCCTCTCGTAGTCATCAGCTGTATGCGTCGTCCTGCTATTGGTTCATCATAGATCCGTCTGAAAAATGGAGATTGTTCCACTCAGATTGGGGAATCGGTAAGTTCAATATACAATCTATAACTTATCTAGCTGACGACCAATTCGAAAAACAGAAATTATTCGTTAACTATCAATTGTTTTAGATATTTTCAACATCATGTGTGCTGTGGCTGCAATCATGACAGAGCTTGTTTCGGTCTATAAGAGCTTGCGCATAGCTAAGGTAACTCAAAATTATTTCGCACGTAGTTTTACGGTAGATACCAACTCAATTTTATACCGGTAGTGGGACTCTGAAACTTCCGCACGACTTTTATAAAGTTTTTTCGCTTCGAATCTTTCCACGCGACTGTCTTTTTTCAAAACTATCATGATAAAGGCAAGAAACACGGATGAACGCAAAACACGATGCAGATTTTTTCAGCCGCACGAAGTGTCACGTCTCCTGGCTGCCACCGTCATACTGTACGCAATCCCCATAATTATCACAATGTACATCATACATATGACCAATATACGCGCACCGCTCACTGAGGTAATTTTGAACACAAAAACAACCCAAACAAGCACTTTTCGATAACCTTTAGGCTCAAGCCATGTACTGCTGCGAAGTCGGATGGAGCCTGATGTGCGCATGCATTGCGGTCATCCTAAGTGGGTTATTTTACTCTTCTACGTTATCTTTGTAATTTCGTCACATTACAGCCGGTATTGGCTCCTATATTTATCTCATGGAGCATCGCTTCATACGCGAACGACAGCTGAGTCAGATGCGAAGGAAGCAGATTCATAACGCAATCATGTCATCTTGTCGAGAGGAAGTCGCAATGGCTATTCGAGCAAGGATGACAGTATTATAACTTTTAATGGGCACTATTACTGGATTACACGCTACTCTAGCCAGCTGCTTTCTATATATTCTTGCAGTAATTTACATTCATGACTAGTTGAAGATAATGCAGTTATGCTGTTGATGTACATGTTCAGAAACAAATCCCGCAATAACTTTCAGCAGCAAAGAAGCGGCTAAAAATAGAAGATTTTTGTGACAACATCCGAGCGGGAGAATCCTTTCAGAATCAAAACAGACTACAATGATCCCGTGTACTCATTCTTTTCTAATTTATCAAAGGGTAATGAAAGAAAAAATCACATCAAAGTATAACATCACAACGCAAAAACTCACTCTGTTTTCAAAATTCCATCATGGTCGGCGGCGCTGGTGGCACACCCTCAGCAGTCTTCCTATGTTTTCGCTCCTCATCTTTCTAAACAGATTATACATAGTTATCTTCAGGAATGAAATATAGCGAACAGACCTTTTCCTTCTTCTTCTTGTCCTTCTTTTTCTTCTTCTCCTTCTTATCACTCTTATGCTTTTTGCGCTCTGGCTCGTCGCCTGGAAAAGCCGATGAAAGACAAACGGAAAAGCAAGGTTATACAATGAAAAACTGAAACTGACATAGCCACCAGTCAGGAGCTCAGTTCAAAACAAGCAAAAGCTGTCATAAAAAGCACAAAACTGGGAATGACATACCATCTAAACTATCCAAAGAGTTTTTGTATCTTTGGCCAGCACTATAATCTTTCCTCTCTATGTCATAAATCACAGGCATGCCGTCACCCTCTCGTTTTTTCTCAAACAGGTACCGGTACCTAAAGACACGCATATAAGTAACATCGTTCAGATTTAGCTATCGCATGAAAATTAGCAGTGAATTACCTTTCATCGACTGGACCGGGCGTCAGACGAAAGCCGCTCATGGCAGTGGATGATAACGTGTTAATCTCCTTACCAGTGATGGGAGGCTTCTCGACTAACATCTTCAACGAGCTGTAATAGAACTTGTGGAGGAAAGCACATGTTCAAGTGGAACTGAATATAAGAAATAAATCTAACCGCGTAAGAACGGAAAAGCTAAAAGAATATATGTCTACAATAAGAATGAATGTCGAAAGGCGTACGGATTTCGGTAATTTTCATTATCAGACTGAGGGTACTGTATGAAAACAAGGTTTTCCGGCTCAATAAAACAGCAAGTATGGCGGAAGATTGCATAGATTTTGAGTAGAAGAGGGCAACATAAATTTTTTGGTTCTTTTGGTAAAACGCTTTTCTCTCCTACTGTATGCACAGTGATAGTGTTCTGGGTCCTCATCCATACAAACTTTTGAAGATTCTTTAGCTTTTTGGTCTAGTAAGAGCGAGCGCTTCAGTAGACTATTTCTTAAATAGACTTTCTTGAGCAAAAGCAATACTCAGTGCTTTGCAATGAAATGGGATGACTGAAATAATACAGAGTGTCCCAAAAAAATGTGAACACTGTTTGATCCTTAATAACTCCGTTGCTTTGATGTCTTTCGCCGAGCTTGAGGCACCATTCTATAGAGCGAGGTTCAGCTTAGATCCGCAGTATGAAGCGAATCATCGATTCGTTTTCCTAAGTGTAGGATTACGGTATGAACTTCTAACATGTGGACCCACTGTGAAATATACCACCTGACAAAACTTCTCTCAAAAAATCTGAAAAATCGTGTACTAGGTTTTTCGCGCACGCTGATTCCAATACACAACTTTTTACGAGTGTTTTTAGCTTGACGGTGTAATCACATTTCTGACAAATGCTGGAAATTCAGTTTTACGGTTTACCTGAGATAACCTTGGAAAAAAGCATCACAGTAAAGTGGAAATTTCATATTCGAAATGAGCGGCTTCCATTACCATAGCATAAGTTTTTAACTTGTTGGATTTTGTTCCGAGGCAGGATATGGCCTTTAATGGCCTAAAATTCTTGCCGAAGTTCCTACCGTAATCCTACACTAAGGAAAATAAATCATGATTCGCTCCATACTGTGGATCTAAGTTGAACCTCGCTCTATAGAATGGTGCCTAAAGCTCGGCGAAAGACATGAAAGCAACGGAGTTAGTAACAATCAAATGGTGTTCACATTTTTTGGGACACCCTGTAGAAAAGAAATAAAAAGTGATAAAATATCAGTGAAAAACATCAATAAAGCATACCTTATATCCTGTGCCTGCGAAAAATTGAAATTGCCATAAATTTGCGGCAGAAAGGAGTTCAAATCTTCTCGCATTTTCTTGGCACCACAGTATCGGCTGTAAACAGCTCCGAGATCATATGCAGTCAAGAGATCTGAGCTGCCAAGCATAGGGCTTTTGGCTGAAATGAGAAAATCAAGACACCAATAACTGAAAGGGAAATAATTGTAAGCCGAAAAGAGGTTATAACTTACGTGGCAACTCTGGTTTCAAGGTATAGAAGGGAGTCACGGTGACAGCTGTGGCCGCTCCAGTTTTGAAAGAGATTTTCGTCCTAAATGATATGATAATTTGCTGCACAACATTTTCACAGTACAACGCAATACGCTACTCCCATCTCAAACGCGAAAACTTCAAACAGCAAACTTTGCTGCTTTTCTTGAAAGCTAGCCACAAATAATTTACCATTCGAAAGGTTAGCGAACCATCGAACGCAGAGACTGAACGCGGTTGTGCCATCCTAACAGAAGAACGCTTTCGGCGAAATTCCAATGCCATAATTCTGATCAAGATGCTACTGGTCCTACTTTATCGCTGTCACCCTGACCGAATCATAATCATTCGCAGCATCTTTTTTTACTTGCTATTTTGTCAATTGTTGTAAAGAAGGCAAGCATACAGTCTGTCCCAATAACGTCTAGGTCAAAATTGGCATGGCGAAAATCCGCATCGATAGGGCTTTGCGTCACGCCTGAGGTCTGCTTGTCCGCTCTTCCTTCTTCCTTCGCTTCCTACGACAGTTCGCATATGCAACGCAAACCCCTAGCGCTGCGAACGCGTAGTTTACGCCAACAGTTCGGCCTTATCCCGACTGGGACGGAGTGTACTTCCCACAACATGACCGGAAGAAAGCGAGCCAAGTTCAATCATCCTGCGCAAGTTCAGCACTAATACGAAATGACTATGATATGTCAAATCAAATAAGCCCTTTAGGCGAGACTTCAGCGATATTGACTTTGATTTTCGAGAAAGGTAGTGGATCAAGCGCTTAAAATCTTACTTGAGTGAAAGTGTCGAGATGGTTGGAGATGAATGTGCAGGCAATGTTGAGCTCCACGCTCCATCGCCCATCAGAACTTCAACAAGATTACCTGCAATGACAATCTTCACATTACAAGACAAAAACGAAAAGCTTAAATGCTCGAAATAGCAGGTGTAGAAGTCCACACCTTACTGGAGAATGTTCGGAAGAAAGAACTAGAGTAGAACAAAATTGACAGAAATGGAACATGACCTACAAATTGAAGAAATTTCACACCTTTCTGTGGAACCAGGAAACCAAAGTGAACGTTGCGCCGAAATTTGCATAGAACAGACGTAATAGTGCGTCGTTTTGCCCAAGGCTGACGTATTACTGCACACCGTCATTTATTTTTCTGCTGGTTTTTGCTTCGTTGAGAACAAGCTAACACAAGCTTAGTCCTTTCAATCTGTATTAGAATTTCTATGAATTGTTTGATCAAATTAAGTTTTGGCATTGCAATGCGCCTTCATGAGGGCTCTTCTTGAGATTTTCTATGTTTTGATATTAGCAATTTTTTCTTCGCTAGCATTTCTTGGTGCGCCTCACTAATTATAATCGTATGTCACCAAAATCTTTGAATTGCACGGTGTGCATGCTCATTTATGGATTCAGAACTGCCATGTTCTCGATGATGTCGAATGCTGAATCTTCCCCGACCACAAGCTCTCCATTCGGTTTCGGTTCGTCATCAGCTTCTCCATTCAGGTATATAGCTCATATGATTCCCTATTCCCGCAAATGCCACTCATTTTTTAAGTTTATTCTTACAATATTTAGCGCTCCTCAAACTCCGGATCTCGAGGATGAACGGTCTATCTATATGTCACCAACACCCGTCAGCAGAAGTTTGAAAGCAGGTACGTAGATGCTTCAATAGAACTCCCTAACTTCAATGTTTTTTGTATTACATTAGCCGCATCTGGTGCTGCTTTCAGATAACGTGAAAGAGATATACTTCAAAGCTTATGTGGACGAGAAACTTGAAGTCCACAAGAAAGAGCTGGAAGAAGGTAAGCACTGACATGACTGCACAAAGCGTAAAAATGTTTGCTTTTCAGAGTTGCATCAAGGACGAATGCGAGCTCTAGAACAGGCCCTAGAAGATGCAAAAAAGGAGAGCTGGATGTACAAACCGCTCGACTTTTAGAGTGTAGCCATCCATTTCACTTTAAAGTACAGTCTTCCTTATTTGAACGTCGCTTTCTGTGGTTGCACCAAGTTCGCTGTCTGCAGAGCAGGCCGGTGGCTTTAGATCACTACAGCGATTGGAAAACTGCACAAAACCGCAGAAGAAGTTACCAGAAGACGATGAAAAAATGAGGAAAAACTAACATTATTTGAATCTGTATTTATTTACAAAAAACTTGAGACAATTATCGTCCATTCTCCGCAGTGTAGCGGGCGGAATTTTGCCGACGTTTGCAACGTATCCCGTGGCAGTTTTTGGTAGCTAGAGAGTACACAAACCAATGCTATAAAGTGGAGGTTCAACAAGTTTTTCAACGTGTTCAAATGTCTGCAGGGCCACGCCCGCTATACGTATGGGAATCGCTTATACCTAAAGTGACTTGGAATGTGGACTGATTATAGGGTTAATTTGTGTCAATGATGTGCTCTGTTTCTGATCAGCTCAAGTGCAACACGCTGCGCCCCGTGCCACGTCTGCGGGCGTACCGCTGAATCGTTGAAAAATGCCGCGTCGAGGGGATCGCTGCGCTATGCCCACGCGTTGCGGAGGCATAGTAGCTACGGGGAAAGGAGCACGTGGTTGACACAGATTATAGGTGTCCAACTGTGTATATAAAAATTAGCTGGCTTACCCGAATTCGCTTGCTATCAACACATCATATGCAGATCTTCTGTGGAAATGCTCATTTGCCCCCCCCCCCTTCTACCAACTCCCGTCACAGGTTGTTTGCCTAAAATTCGTAAAGGTACCCTGATTTCACGCTACAGGCGCGAGGGGTTTTTTCAAAAATCGACCTGCCCAATAGGCGAAAAGACTTGGCAACCAAGGGATCCTATGCCGGATTTCGTATTGTCTAAGAGAATTGTGCGGCATAGAAATCGGTGCGTAACACACTGAAGCGGTTGAGCGGCTCATTTGAAAAATCGAAAAAGGTGCGCTTTGTGCGCGTAAAATTAGGGTTATCTTTAATTCTGGGAATTAATTTTGTATTCTTCTCAAAGGCAGTGTCCGGACAAGATACGGATTCTAGAATTTCAGTGACATGCAGAAGTGGGGCTCCTGGGACACGCCAATGCGCAAGTCCGAGGCCATAACGTTCGGTCACAACCGAGAAATATGGTCGGAAAGCTGAGAAACTTACGCCCTGGGGCGAGGCTCTCCGACCTGTTTGAATTCCTGCTATGCGGCAGAGTACGCATGCCCTCACAGTAGGGTTTCGCAGAGACTCTGCGTCTTAGCCTTGCCGGGAACCGTCCAATTTCAAATTGTAAGGCTTCAAGAAACGCGTGTTCTTGCCGTTTTCGCGACCTCTTGTGTAGACTTTCGGATTGAGCGTTGCGGATAGCCCCAGGTGAGTGAGTTTCCCAGAAATCGAGTTCTTGTCCGGACACTGCCTTTAAAGGCAGTGGCTCAATGCTCAACCTAGTCAAATTTTCGCTTACCTGGGGTTATTCAATACGCTGATCCCGAAAATCCACTTCTGCCAGTTTGAAAAGCGAAAACGAGCGTTTTTCGATGCCCATCCCTTCAGAACTGGACGAGGGGTGGAGGACTATATGTCGCCGAATTTGGGAGAGTCCCGCGCGGATTCCCTGTAGGAACGCATGTCCGCGCATGTACAAGGGTGCGTATTTGTCGCAAATGACCGCGGGGACCGCCCTTTTTCGGCGACATATAGTCGTCCACCCCTGGACGAGTGGAGCAAGGCTGATGATGCTGGATCATTGCGGGACCCAATGGTTATAGCATTGCGGCGGGCAGCCTCCAATAGTGAGGAGGAAATTGCCAACTCGTCCGGGAGCGTGTAAGATTGGCCTGCGCGTGTAAGTCTGAGAGCCATTTTCTCGGCAGGGAAGGCATGCTGTGCAACCAGGATTGCACTGTTTTATACTTGGGCGATAAAGAACCTATCGCGTTAAAATCCTGAGTGGTTGAGTTTCGCCGATCCACTGCCTTCAAGCATGCACAGTAACGGCAGAGCCTACTCCCAGACCCTAGCTGAAAGTTTATTGAAAAGAACAAAGAGTAGATCGATTGATAATGAAAGTAGCCTGTAGCCGCCACTCCTCGATGTGTGTAGGCTGCAAATTTTGAGTGTTAGCTTTAGCTCTTTGAGTCTCTGTGACCTTCTCGCTCAGGCTTTGCGCCGCGTACGCGCTTGCGTTTCGCACAATCAGCAACGAATAAGCGTCGTTGACTCGGAGAAAAAGCTCCGAGGATACTTTCGCGAACGTGGCGTCAGGCTCGGCGAGACGGTTGCGAGGGCCCGAGCCGCTAGAACTATGACATTCGAATCGAGACAGCCTATATGTGTGCATAGTTTGGTCGGATTGATTGAAATGTGGCTTTTCTATTTGTACACATGGAATTGATTGACTGTTTGTGTATGTAATGATATAGAGTTTGTTGATGAGTTGTTAACAATAAATTGTGTTGTTTTGACCTTTTGATGCCCAAGAATTGTGGGCCAGACAAACAACGGTAGCTGTTTCACTGGCTGCAAGCTGCTAATGTCTATACCTCGATTCCTGATGTAGAAATTGGGGTGAAATCCATTAAATAGTGTAGTTGCGAAAGTGGCAGCTGAAAAATCATTAGCGTTCAAGAAATTTAGCAAATTCTGACCCAGGCCGTAATCTTTACAAGAGGGCCTGCACAGGTGTTCGATTACCGAGGAAGTACTGTTTTATTGAAGTTTAGGTTAATTAATCGGACACGCTTACATCATCCCCATATTTTTTTGCAGAACAATGCTCACGAGAAGTGTTTCAATGAAGCGGAATAAAACATTAGTGGCTTTTCTTGCAACATTATCAGCTTGCAACATTATCAGCATCAGCCACAAATGGCATCTTTTTAGGTTAATGGGAAATAGACAAACGAAGCAAAACATCGTTTTTTTTTCTTCGTGACACAGTCTGGTTCCGAAATTACCCAAAGCGTTGCGCAAATTTCAGAACTCTAACAATTGATAGCGTCGCAGTGTTAATCACGAGCAATCGAGAGATTAATTGGAGTATCGGATGTTTCAGTTGTGTTGCTCTACTCTTTAAACGAGGAAGTAAATTTCGGGTCTATTCTTTCATGACAAAAAGGTCCCATGTTCAGGAACTATCTCTTTTCCCCAGGGTTTTCGGATCACACTTATCTAACACGTTCAAAGGGTTTTTCGAGCTTCAAAGCAGAATCATGCTTTATGCTGATATTTAGTTACATTAGTCAAAAATCTCGCCACTCCAGACTGGGTTGTCTTTTACCTTTTTTCGGGTTGAACAATATCATAGACCCTCTATCATCTTAGTGTCATACCATGTGCATGCTTACAAGGGAAGGATACCAGCATTAGTTGGCAATTGAAGATGAGATGTAAATCACTAGATGCAACTTTGAACGCTGATTCCAAATCTGCTTTCCTTTTTTGCGGAATAAGTTTGAGAAAGAAGTTATGAGCGTTTGAATGGCCAGATTTGCCAATCATTGAGTGGCTTAAAATCAGCGAAAAGTTCTGAAACAACACCTATGCGATTTCCATTGGCTTTGTTCCTTCCTTGCAAACAATATACTCGATATAAAAATGATTTTCCACTTTCCGGTGCTTTTATACAGCTTTTCGCCAATTTTAGGCCACATAAACCTTGACAAATTTAGGCATTTAAACGCCCACAACTTCATTCGGAAACATATTCCGCAAAAAAGGAAAGCAGATTTGAAATCAGCGTTCAAAGGCGCGTCTACTAATATACATCTCATCTTCAATTGCCAACTAATGTTAGTATCCTTCCCTTGTTAGTATCACGTATATAAGTACACCTCCAAGTTTTCATAGATGCCTCAATTTTGAAAAAAATCTAATCGTATTTGAAAAAATCGTAAGACAACCTCGAGCCCCTTATTTCACGTAATAATACTCTTCGCAGTTATTGAAGAGTAAAGAAGTTGGTCAGCAGATTTTTCTCCTGCATCATCTGGGGCAGCACGCCAGAGCCCTTGTCATACTCCGCATTAGCAGAATTCCTACTCTTGGCTGGATTCTGGCGTAGCTGTCTAGCTGTCTTGCGCTTTATTATCGCACCCAGTAATCCTGGCATTTCATCCTTCGCCAATGAGAAAATTGTTGATCTTCGTGGCTATTTATCATCTCACGGCGCGGCAACACATTCCCGTCATGCCTAGCCCTGCAAAAAATTTCAGGTTGGGGGCTTAGAGTGGCTAATGTTAGCTGGCCGGTTTACAGTTTTACGTTCTTGCCTGGTTGTTAATGCTGTATGTGATTATGTAAGGCGGCGGTTCACATTAAAGGTGCTGATCGAGCGGGTCGCCAGAAGGTGAACTACCGCCGCGCTGCGACAAACATCCACCGAACTCGATTAGCTGACAGAATATAAAAAAGTTCTACACAATGCGGAATTGACTACTCATATGCTGTATAAAGTCAAAGATCTGATCGACGTCATGTATGGTGGTATAAGAAAATTTATGGTGAGACGTCATGTTTATGACCGCTGTGAGTCCCGATGGCGAGACAGATTTGGCCCGAAGATATTCCTAGCAAGGTGTGATTGCAACTGTAGAGGAGTAAATGCATATTTTAGGAAATAAAATTATGTCGTAGCTATACTCCATCTATAGAGCCAGGCGTATAGATGCAAAGTATGAAATTAAAATTATATCGTCGAAGCTATGCTTCACAATGCAGTTCTAGAGAATAATTTTTGCGACGTACTGCGGCCATTATACAAAAAGAAGGCGAACAAATACTGCACTTGTGACTTTCCATAATGGAGGGTATTTCATGCACAATTTTGAATTCTTGTTTCTTGAAGTAGAGTATTGCTCCCAAACATCGTTTAGAGTAGCTTTGTGCTCAAAATCGAAAATCGAAGGACGTGACGTCGACGTCCAGTTCATAGCTGAAAGAAACTTCAGAAAAATAGTCAAACTACAGTGGCTTACCACCCGTCGTTACTTGCCTTGTAGAGTTTTATGATATTTGCTGGGAAAGTGACCGAAATATTTACCGAATTGTTGCTTGCTGCTAATCACGAATTTCTGATATTCTCCGACTCATTTGAAATTTGCAAGAATTTTTAATAAACAAACACTGAGCATTTAGCAAATGCCTGGCTATAACGGCAGGCAAATTTGCGCTTCTTACATACGTACCTTCTCAGGCTATCAAAAATCGGAAAACTTCTCATAGTATCCGACGGAATGGAAATTCATGCCGTTTCGAATGGCATACTTACAATTTGCAAACTTTTGTTATGAGCAAAATTTTGCTCGTGATCCTATTAATTCGCTAGAAGACTGTCAATACTATGGTGCCATGTTGTGCACGCTATATTTTCACTTCCATACTTGGAAGAGTAAAGTATCTGAAAGCATCTACTACGCATTCTAAAAATTTTTTCCAGGAGCTATTATGACTTATAATGAGTATAAAATCAATGCAAAAAACTTCACGGTAGCATCTTGAAGGTATAAGCTGCTGAAATAGTTAGATTCAAACAAGGCGCAGTTCAAATTTTATCAAATTTGGTATTTTCACGCTCAGAATTTCTCTCCGGTTTTGCCTTCATCATGTGAAGTAAACGTGTGTGTAATGAAAGGAAAGAGTTTCAGTAGATTATAATACTGTTTCTGTATGGCGCACTTCTTTTAAAACTGATAGCATTTGAAAAAAAAACTGGTGAAGCAAAATTTGCCGGCATATTGGGGAACACTAGCTGATGATAGTCAACCGCTATCTTTATCAGCGATTCCAGGGAGCCATATAAACCGTTCACTATATGAGATTTACTGCATTAGTTTTTCACTGCAATTCACATCTATGATATGGCACCAAACAGGTTAGAATCGTGCCCAAGGGCTGTCTATGTGCCAACCATTTTCAGTCTTTTTCAGACACAAACTGTCGAGAAAAATGTTACTCAGATAATTCTAAAATCCTTCGCTAGTTCGGAAGTCGTTTGCATGCCGAACGTGTACCTACAAATTTTCTGGGGCTCAGGCTTCAGTTCCCACATTGCTCATTATTGTGCCTCCCAAACGTTACCAATGGGGATCTCAAATTAGCACCACATAGCTAATCGCATTCCAACAAGCCCCTAATCGTACAGTGCTGATGCTATCAGTACAACATCTCTAAACAAAGCGACAATCGGCTTAAAGTTGCGCGATTGCCTTTGGCAATCGTCGCGATCCGTGGATGTGATCTACGACCGCGATAGCACCAGTAGGACGCGCTTTAGAGCTCATCCATTACTTGACGACGTTTATATAAGGGGCGCGATTGTGAGAAAATCCTGAGCATTAGTGAAAATTTGTAATAGGAATAGCATTTTGCAGTGAAGTCCCTACAAAGGATTGTTGAGTGATTTCTTTTATCTTCGTATCGGTACACTTTGTACATCGTTATCACTAATGCCAGTGGCCTAACATGAGGGCGCATTCCTTTTTGGTAAGCTATCAGGTCCTGAGGATAGCGAGGAACTTGATAGCGCAACGTTGTAGTTCTTTCATTTTTCCGTCATTGCTATGTGATAACACTGCGCGGATGAATGAAAAAAAAAAAAACAAAACAGAGTTATTCAAGAAGTATCCTAGCCTCCACATAAAAAATGCTAAGGTTACAATTAACAAAATCGATGCAGCTGTCATTAACACACTCAAATGCTGTTAAACATGACTGAATTCGAGCTTCCTGATTGATCTTGAAATTTTCCCGTGGATTCTTGTTTCCAAAATTTTTGTAGAATGTGAGAAACCTTTTTAAAGGCATTAAATTATATGGAAGTGGAAGTGGTAATTTAGGTGCTATGATAAATTCGAGCAAAGAATGTGGTGAAGAGAATTTTTTAGAATTGCTGCCTTGCCTTGATGCGAGTATCTTGTAACTTATGCAAATTTAGCTCAAGTATGTGTTCAATCTTGTGGATAGACAAAATCTGCTTGAATTTGGTATGTGCAATACCTTGTGAATACCCGAAAGATAACCTTCAGCTTTGAGTAAACACGGAATTTATCCTGGATTCAATGATCTCTCAGTCCACCTTGAGAAACAACTGAAAATGTGAGGAAAGAATGATTTTTGAAAAAAATCAAAATAGCAGTGTATGATTTGCCTTGTGAAGGAAAACGGTGAAAGGTAAGTTTTCGTATAACTTGCGAAGGAAAAAACTTGCGAACGAAAGGCTCAAAGTGAGCACATGAGTATTCACTACTGAAAAAAGATTACTCACTTCATGGTAAGTATATAACCTTGCAAATATCTTACATTTCTGAAGGACTAAACTCTTAGTTTCAGCGATATCTCGACTCAGGTGGTAAATTCACTCTCCATACCCCGGGGAGTTTCCATTATCAGCCACCTCGCAGTCGGTGGCTCTTGATCGGGGCGTCACCAGGTGTTAATCATGTCGTTGTCGGCCGGATCAAATGCCGCAGACGCGTGCCGCTTCTGGAGGCGGAGTCGACGGAGGCGCCTACCGTCAGCCCCAGCCAATCAGCGCAGGGCTGCTGTGTGGCAGCTGGGCGGAGACGTCGAGGTGGCGCCGGCGCTACAACAGCGGAACAGCCCATAGACGCTATTGTGTTCGTTGTTTTGCGAGGAAACATGACCGATTTGAATGTACGACTGGCCAATGACGAACTTTGGACGAAATTCCATGAAAACACCACTGAAATGGTGGTGACTAAGACTGGCAGGTTTGTCTTTCAAGATATCTTCGTTTTTACCGCATTCGCTCTCATGTCCAGAGCTTTGAGCTGTCTTTTCTTGCACCTTGTACTCGCATACAACCTTGACAACGCTTTAGAAAGATGTTCCCGAAATTGGAATACGTTATCGAAGGCCTCAAAACCGACCAAGCATACGGATTAGTGCTGCAGATCGAACAAGTAGATGATAATCGGTGAGGCTCTTTTCCTGCCCTCATCATCTGACAGATTAAGTATCTACTATGTAAAATCGTAATATCGCATTTTTTGAAAGTTTGTTGTTGATCACTGCTTTGAGCATATTTGCCGGTCATGCTTTTTTGGTCATTTCCCAAAGTTTCTTTATGAGAAAGTGAGATAATTTGTGTCATTCTGTCGTACCTATATATTGTTTGCAAATTTTCTTTTTGCAAGCAGAAAAGTTCTCTTCACACCGAGCACATGTTTTGGGTTAAATCTTCTTAAAAATTGTTTTTGATCTCTTTCGCTCGTCTAAGAAGTTGGCACTATCAATCCCAACTTTCTGATCATCTTACTTTTTAGCACTTCTTATCGCGCTTCATACTCTACTTCATGCATCTCTGTGATGTAAAACCAAGAATTTTCCTAATTTCGGCCAAGATATGCAATGAAAATGCAACCATCTGTAAACATTCACGATGCTTTCTTCTTGCTTCAAAATCGTAGAATTCTCTGAAGCAAATCAAATACTTAGTAACCATTGATCACCTCCCAGTTTATTTACGAAGATTGCCTTATGGGGCTATATTGAGTTGCTCTTGTGAGTAGGTGAATTGAGGAATTGTAGTCTTTGGTTTTGTTGATGACTTAAAGTCCTCAACAAAACCACGTTTCCTCTTCATTTTGAACAAGCTGAACTAATTCTGAGCTTGGCAAGCTGAAGTCCACCTGTTTTTGAATGATTACCGATGTCTTATGCTAGGTAGTTGACCAAACGCATAAAAAAATAATCTAGTTCACTTATCTTTATTTTACTTCATCCACTGTGATCCCAATTTGAGAGAGGAAACTCATTCATTACCATTTATGGCAGATATTTAGGTACAAATTCTCCGGAGGTGAATGGAGTGCCGCAGGACGAGGTGAAGCTGGTGGCATCGCCAAAAATGTTATGCACCACGATGGTGTCATGCCGGGTGCACACTGGATGCGTCAACCGGTGAACTTCGAACGCGTCAAGATCACTAACAATCCTAACGACACAAATCCAAGCCATGTAAGTTTGTTGCTTTATAATTTTTGTAGGTGTTGTTCGTCCTGTAGCAATACGGCTATCCATGTGGATGACTTCGGTGTTACAAGTCCGGAATAAGTTATAGGTTGTTGTCATTGGGTAATCAAGTTGTAAACGTCGTCATAAGGAAGAGTTATTAGCGCGAGGTCTCAAGGCGCATTAGCCGACGCTTATCCTTTATCCGATCTGAGTGGCATGCGTATGGACATTGGTGGCTAATTGTTACAAATATTTTGACAATAACACAAATTCATTCTAAGGCCCCGGGCAGACTTCACGCGACTTGGTCGTCGCGACTGAGTCGCGACGAGACAACTGTTACAACATCATTCCATGCCGATCAACTTGCATTCGGTTGTGATACTTTTCCAGCCCGAAATTTTTGAATGCGAAATGAAAATGAATGGAAATCTTGGCGATTAGATCGCGACGATTAAGTCGCGTGAAGTCTGCCCGGGGCCTAAGGCTTCTGTTTTTAGCGCTGGTGATAAATTTGTAAGCTTAAGCTAGTACTGGAGATTTGAATTTTGAGAAATTTCATTACTTTCGAAAGGAATTAACTTTGCCCGAAGCTTCCTTAATAGTTTACTTTACTGAAAGAAAAACATCATAATGAATTTTGAAGTTAAATCAAAATGCCTCTGCTTACTTTTCAGTTTCTAACCTTTTTGCAGTTTATGACAGCGGCATCGAGAGAGTTGTTCCGCATCCAGCTTTCTGCGAATTTATCCCATGAAATTCTGTAGCAAATGCATTTATAATTAAGATATACAACAATAACAATTACTGACTAGTATCTTTATGCATACCGTAGCTCAACTCATAACCAATATTGCTGTTGGTCAGTAGCAATATTTTATAGGCTTTACTGTATTGAAAGAGTGAAAGTTAGTATGTTTTGCTTTTTCATTGGGATTCTTAGTCATTTAGAAGTTTAGATTGAAAAGAAAAATTGATTGAACTATAGACATCATAAACTTCTATCACTTTCAAAATTTGGCGTTTAAGGGTGGCGCAAAGGAGAGATTTGATGAATTTCTGAACTTTGCTGGAATCGAAAAGCCGTTTAAACTTTACTTTTTGATAGCAGTGAAAGAAATGTTAGATAAGCAAGCTTCTCACTTCGTTATTAACTCGTAACTCCATTCCTTCTTCAAAACTGCGCCTGACAACTCGTTAAGTCTACCTACTTCTAATAAGCGTAGTAATCCCCAGTTGTCACCGCGCTGATCAATTTTCGATGTGTCAATTACGTGATCTGACAAAGTCGTGCTTATCTGTGTCCACTCATGCGCAGCGATTACGGTACGGCGCTGCGTGCGTCGGTGATTGCGACATAGAGATTGCCGCAGCGCATCCACCACTCGAACAAAAGCCACGAAATTGACTGACAACAGATCTCTGCGTAGATATGGATGTAGTTATAGAAGGTCGACGCATATTACCAACATAAACTTACAGTAATCGGTAAATAAATCAATAAATCGATCCAATCAAAATTTGACATGTCAGAATCGGCTAACAAAGTATTTCGTCAAAGGTGATGGACATGCCCAATCATTACTAACTGACATGTCAGCTTTTGTCTACTTTACATGTAAAACAAGTTATATCACTGACAAGTCAGAATTTATACGAATGCTGATCTAACCAGCAATGCCTGCAAATCCAATCAATATATTGATTATTGCGAAAGTTTTCCGATTTTATACATCTTTTTCAAAATAATTAACCTTGTTTATACCATAAGATGTCTCCCGGAAGGATTTTAGACGTAGTCGTCACCTTACGTTCCAATAACTTTGAGTCGATTTCTGCACGAATGTCAGTACAAAATCAATAATTGATTGATGCTGCCAAGCTCAAACCGTATACAAAAGGGAGAACTCATTCCGGGATAAATTTGTCTTTGATGATCTCGGGATGATTTTATTGTGATAAAAAGGTCCTAAACCTGTGGTACAGTACTATCCGTCACGCGTCGATCGTAAACCAACGAAATGATCGATAAAATTGATACTTGACCTGAATAGACATCATCCTCAAAAGATAGGGGATGAGTTCCTAAACATGAAGAATCAATGTATCATCGGTGTTTCACTACAAATTTGTGATCCACAAGTTCAGAATTTTGCGAAGTTTATTTTTAGCCAATTTATTTCAGATTTTTCTCCAATCAATGCATAAATACATCCCCGTGTTGAGCATCTTCGAAATTGCACAGAGTGCAACACCCTTCATGTCAGCATCAACGAGTCAACCTCCAAAACAGGTAAAATTTCACCGTTTTGTCATTTTTGAAGGTCTCAGAGGCAAGTAATATCAAAATATACAAAAGTTATCGATTATCGATTACTTCATGAAATGACTAGTTTTCAGATCGCTCGGATACGAATTCCACAAACCGAGTTTGTTGCCGTCACTGCATATCAGAACAATACCATCACACAATTGAAGATTGAACATAATCCATTTGCCAAAGGATTTCGCGACGGCGGCGAACGCAAACGGTCTACGCCAGAAAATTGCCTGGTGAGTTCTCAAAACAAATCAATCAATAATCGATTTTGGCATGCTTAACCTTAATGGTTATTTTAGTCTTCGCCATCTCCAAAGCGTATCTTTTCACCGGTGAACTATACGCCATCCCTGGATAAGCCAATGCCAGTGCTTCCGACGCCAACCCCATTGCCAATGCCACCAATGTGGCCTGGATTCTACCAAGCATACTGGAATCCTTATTCGTACATGCTGAATCCGCTCCTGGCAAGATTTGGCGCTGCTCCAAAGTGAACTTGGTTATAGAAAAAAATTGTAACGAAATAGGCAACTGTGGTTGTAAAAATGCAATATGATACTATACGTTAGCAGTATTATTCGCTGTCGAATTCTCAGCTAACTATCTCTGTTGACATTTAGTAGGCATGAGCTAAAAATGACTAAATGTCAGCGGCTTATGCATTTTCTATACATATTTGAATCTGAGCTGATTCGCAGATCTTCCCAGAACTACCTATACTTTCAGTTGTACAGTGACTTATCGATTCATAGAATTTTGTTTTCCTGTCTGAGAGACACTATCGGGTCATTCTTGTTTATTTGTTTCTTAGAGCCTATCCGTGATAAAACGTTTATAGACTTGTCTTAATTGTTGCTTAAAGGAGCCCTTCTAAAGAAGCAAAAAAATGTGTTATGCTTGTCAAGCGGGAAATGATGGATAATTTTGTAAAAGAATTGGACAATCGTATCAGTTGCATAATTTCATCTGCCCTCGATAATAAAATTGAAGCATTCAATCCAACAAGTGTAAAAATCAGGGCTCGGCACGAGGTGGCTTACAAGCAAGCTGGATATCGTTTTTGGGACGAAAAGCAAAGGGGGTTTCGTTTTTGTGACCGAAGACACATACAAAATTGGCGATTTGGCGACGTTTTTTTTTAGTCGACGTTTCGTTTTTTGGAGGATTATTAGGGAATATGGTGGGGGTCAAAGGGGACTTCGTAAAAATACCCAAAAGTCAAGGGGGACTTCGTTTTTTGCATTTTCATCTAGCCACCTCGTGCCGAGCCCTGGTAAAAATGCACTTTGATCTCCCTAGAAAAGCGTTCTAATCTCGATTTCAAAATTTTTGAAAAACACTCCTTCATAAGGTCAGCATTGACTCTTTTGTTTTCGCATTGCGCAAATCGATATTAATCTGAAAGCACTATTTAAAAATGGCATACCCAGGACCCAGGAAATTGCTATCTGCACCAACTCCCAGCTACCCTACTATGGGTCTGCTCTCGATGCATAGTATGCAAAATTTGGAAATTACTGGGTTAAAAATTCAATTTTCTATTTGAAACATACTTACATACGAAACAAAACATACAGACAGACTGAAAAATTGATATTGAGCCCTTCAATCTCTATTTCAGACACACCTTCGATATCTAGAGCCATGTCTCTATTGATCTTTTCCCTAAGGAACAGAAGAAAGCAAAGTTTTCATTGCTTTGGACGAGAAAACATCCGGGGCCAAGCCCCGTCTACCAAGTCTGGTACCATATCAGGTTGATTGTAAAGAAGACAGTAGAGTAATGTCTTGGTATAATGTTCTAGCAGCATTAAGGAATACGTTTTCATGGCCTTTTCCGTGCTAAAAATAAGAGTCTTGTAAGAAGTTCTCTTGGCAACGATGCTCCTCCCAGACCAGTTATTGCACCATAAGGGTGTTTAAAAAGTAAGTGTCCTAAAGTACTTCCAATTCGAATTTTGAGGCGCTTTTTGTTTTGTTGTGCTCATCAGCCTTGATACCACTACTTCAGTGAAACTAGGTCTCCTTGTGGTTTCTACAGATTTTTTATCATATTGAAACACATCAATATAGCTTTCCAAACCATTTTCCTTTTTTTCCCCTGAAACGCTTGTTACAAAAAAGAAAACGTAGACCACAGAGAACTTAGTATACCATTTGGAGGCCCTTTCTTTAAGGCTTCTAATATGTGCATTTGTTTTCGTAGATTTAGTTCGTTTTGAAATGCACCGCGGCTTCAAGAGATCCAGTTTCAGTATTTGTTCCTCAAAAAATCCAGCACCATAATTTTTCAATTTTATCCTCAAAACCTTTGCAAGCGTGCAAAATTTTTGAGAACGATTATAACGAAAGTCAAAGAGCTGTGCTACAAACACATGTTGAAATAAGACTTCCAAAATTTTTTGAACTGAAAAAATTTTACCGCAAATTCGTGCGCGATTGTCTGCTGTAATTTAGCAAATGAAAAAAATCTTTGTTTGCAAGCTGCTGAGGAGCTTTTATCATATAAAAGAAGTGTAAACTTAGGACTATTTTAAATTTAAGAAAATGGAAAGCTATCTTCGTTTTCCGGCACAGAAAACATGTAGAACAACTCAGATAACGCACTCTTCCGCCTCTTCAAAGAAGCTGAAATTTTGTTTTCTTCCAAATTTTTCCAGGTATCTTAAGGGAATAAATATCTTTCTTTGTTGATGGAATGGTTTCTAGGTTTAGCGAACTTATATAGCAAAAACTGAGTTAGGATTCGCAGTCGAAGTACTTGAGGCCACAAACTTTTTGAAACATCCTGTAAGTTTAGAAAAAAGATTCTAGAAGCTTGGTGGAGTTGAGTGACATCCAAAAATTGTCTCAGTTGAGCAGGAACTGCACATAAATAGGGACTTCATCCCGTTGTAGTTTATTGTGGTTTAGTCTTGGTAATCATGTGCATACAGGGTAGGCAAAAGTCTGGGAGCCTAGTGCTGTAAATCAAGAAACTACTGATGATTTTGACTCCAAATTTGTGCCACATATTGCTGCGATCATCCTCTGCAAAACACACTTTGGTTGGCTGAAAATGCTTGCTATATGTTTTTGCAGGAGTTGGATTTTCAAACAAGTGCTCTGCAAAACGAGAAAATAGGAATTTTTGGTCTTCACAACTTATTTCGTAACTAACGATACAGTGGATATTCTGAAGCAATTCGATGCGTATAATGTAGAGGAGACTTCGCGCTATCAATTCTTAGCCGTTGCATTTGTCAGATACTATTCTTTTAAAAAGCGCAAAATATAAATTTGCGAATACCAGCTGCGTGCCAGCGGCCATTTTTCTTTAGAATAAATTTTATAGCTATAGGGGCACAGCAGGCACTGAATTCTAGGCTATATTCTTTCCATGAGTCTTCTATGCAAGCGTGTACTGGTGTTTGATCGATCAAGCGATTTCAGTACTTTCCAGATTACGTTTCTTCGCTCCCGTTCGCGCAATCGCATCCAGATTTCCAGTATACGAGTACAATTGCCTTTAATTAAAATTCTAAAAATTTTTTCCTAAACACTGCGAAAAAAAAATTTCTTCGCAGTGCGTTGTAGCCAAAAGCTTGCTCTAACACACCGATATTTGCCTGGTGAAATAAACAGTTATCGTAAAGGCGTGGGACGAATTTCATCACCACGGTCTGCGTGCCACGACAGTCGGACTCGCCAAGATTTCAAAGGGCTGCTTTGAAGCCAGAAGAGGCAATCTCAACATTTGAAAGCAGCGCTGTATTAGTAAAGGTTCGACTTATGTGTGCACCAAATTTTTTGTTCCTAGGCACTTTCCTTCTGATCTCATCTGAAAAGGCGCTAGGCTCCCAGACTTTTGCCCCACCCTGTACATTCTTTTCATGACGATTAGAATGATATATGATGCTGCAGGATTTTGTTGGGAAATGCGGAGATCCACGACTAGAAGCACATTGTCCGTCGCTGGTGTTTATCCTAGGCTCGTCTGCGCCTCCGCGCACTGCCTCGACCTCTTCGATGTTTCAGATCCAATCTTAGCAAATCTCATAATCATTTTCCTGCTCTTGATGTCTACTCATACGCTGGTAACGTCGCAGAATTCCATTTTTTTTATTCCAAAAAATTTAGTGAGACCCTGTCCGAAATTTCTTCATTTTTTCTTCAGTTCAGCTGTTTGCGCTTGTCGTGCATTTGATAGTTCCCTTTGTCTATAATGTAGACAATATTGCCAACCTTCAAAATATTGCCAACCTAATTTTTTCTTATGTGGTGAAAAATTTGGTGAAAAAAGTGAGCTTCATAGTTCTTTTGAAGTTAACAACCGCTTTCTCATTCACAGCGGTAACTTACCCAGAATGATGAGCCAAACAACGCAGGCAACTTCGCCGAAAACGAGACGACAAGACTTACAATTTAAATTGGCCTTCCATGTGCATTTTCTCTTTAGAAAAACACCACTTTTATGGCAGTCTTTCTGTTTATCTCCTTCTTGACAATTTCGCCACATCCGGAACGATCGCCCTTGAGACAGCTTAGCTTTTCCGCGAGTTACGGGTCTTGGGGCGGAGATCTTCTATTTGAAATACCGTTTGAATTTTCATGAGATTTTCAACAATTTCTTTTTTCTGTTCAGCATTATCTCTTTTTCTTTTCTAGCTCCCTAGAACTCCTTACTTTTTATTTCTACGTTAAAAACCTCTGCTTTCGAGTATGTCTTGGCTATAGAAGTATGATTTTCATGAATTATAGAAACTGCAGTTATACGCAAGCGAAATCGAGGCAGAATCTACAATATCATTTTCTGGTGCATTACGTCACTACTGAACTGTACACGCTCTTCCGCTGAGTACAATACCGCTCACATTTTTTGAAAAAAAGACGCGAATGTATGGACATGTATGGACATGTCCGTACATGTCCGTACATGTCCATACATGTATGGACATGTCCATACATCAGCGTCGCGTGGCCATATCTCGCTTCAGTGTGGACGAATTCTGAATCCAAGGCCACCGTTCGATTCAGCTCGGCGCGGAGAATCTTCTGATATATTGGAAATGGGGGTACGATGTTTTCGATATTCCGTTTCCAGTTTTTCAATTTGTTCTGCGGAGGTCCTTTCGCGAATATGTGAAGCAACGCCTACCCAACATAGAAGACTTTACTAAGTACTATTCGATAATACTGTTCTTGCAAATTATTGTGCGCTAAAAAATAGGCTCAGACTTCTTTCCAAAGGAGGTGAAAGCGTTGGTGAATTTTGGAAAAATCACGCGTTTCTAAATTCTACTCGCCATAACTTCCTTCGGAACAAGTATATTTTGAATCCGAAAACTGCGCCTTGCTCAGCTCATCAAGTCGAATCTTCTATGTACAGCATGTCCTTGGTATCTCGATTTCAGTATTCTTGAATCTTTCTGAGGACGTCTTTTCGCGAAGGTGTAATGCAGCGAACATTGTCCCGAGTACATTTCAGCAAGGATCTTTCGATAGCACTTTTTCTGTAGATTATGATGTGCTAAATAGTAGTCACAGGTTTCTTTTCAAAGGAAATAGAAGGGCTGGTGAATAGTGGAAAAATCTTGTCGTCCCAAATTCTACTCCGTATCAGCAGGATACGAAGCTATCTTGCTAAGCAGATGTGAGTTTCGAAATCAGCAGGTCGCATAACCTCTACGAGCAAGTTTTCCGATATGTTCGGGTCATTTCATTTTTTCTCGTTTTACGCTCCGGAAGCGCGCCGATGGATTTTGGTCAAAATGTTGATGCTCTTGAATTGTAAGGAAACTTCGCTTATAGAGGTTTTCGAACACGCTCTTTACGAAAATCGT